CGGCCCGCGGACTCAGCGTCGACGATGTGGATGGACCTGGGACTCTCATGGCTCCCAGGGTCCACCAGAACATCAACAAGCAGAGAAGCAGCGAGCTGCCGTGGATCTTGGAGCCTCCTATCCTGCGCAAAATGTTGCAAGATGCTGGTGGTGATCCATGTCTCGTCATAAACTTTTGTAGCACTACATGTATGTGTGTGTGTGTTTTATATTCCTCCGTATGTTGTGTTGTTGGATGATGGAACAGTTTGATTTACGAGGATTTACGCATTGATTGTCGAGAAACAGGGTGCACGCTACTGAATTGACGTGCGTCAGAAAAGGATATCAGCCCACTTCGGGATGATACGATGTGTATATACCAAGCTTTGATCAAATCATATCAAATCCATATGCTTGATGATTGATTATGGTCAAATTCGAAATCCGATTCAAAACTCGATCCTTCCAACTTTTCCAATGAAACTTCATGAATCCCACAGCAATTTGTCAGACATCCTTTTGAGGTTTCCTCATATTCCTTTTGGCTTTAAAATCTGATTCTCCACCACACCATTCCCCGACCAAAATATGGAAGAGTTACATGTAATCAAGACTTAAAGCAACTAAAATGGGTTTTAATCCAAGTTTGTGGATTGCCTTCCGAAAAATTGGCCACGCCGCTACCCTTAAATCCAATTTTCTATCATCATATTCCATCATTTTCCGGTGTGTTCACCATTCAAATTGCCGTGATTTTGCTCTAGGTCAGCCGCAAAACCTGCATCACCAGCCTTCATATATTTGATCAAATGTCCTTTAGTACGCCTAGAATATCAAAATTAATCGAACTTATATACATAATATATATATATATACAGTAGCGAGCATGCTCTTGATTTTCTCTTACATGAAACTTTACTTTTGTATCTTCTGCAAGGAGAATATGTCTTGAGTCTTGACCATGTTTGGTCTGCAAGTGTTAAAATGTTCTTTGCGCGCAACAACTTCAATCAAAGAAGGGGGAAACTTAGGCCGGCGAAATTGCTTAAACAAAGAACGTTTTAACATTTGCAGACCAAACATGGTCAAGACTCAAGGCATATTCTCCTTTTTTAGAAGATACTAAAGTAAAGTTTCATGTACGAGAAAATCAAGAGCATGCTCGCTACTGTATATATTATATATATATATATCCTCTATATTTATCGTCAGTCTTATGTCCCCATAGCTTCATATGAGCCATGGTCAATACTCACTATATGGTTGATGGCCATCCCATCCATAATAAGGATCCTTATAATGGTTATTATAAATCCCTATGAACCATTGGATGACTAGCCCCTATTAATGGTTATTAACCATGAGTATTGACCATAGCTCATGTGACAGTATCATTCTTGGCACGTTCCTCATTTTCCCTGGCGTTGTCCCCAGTCAAATGGTCCCCAAGGTTGCAACCCATACAGTATGGGGGTATCCATAATTGGGTACCTGATGGTTTATTTCATGGAAAACCAAACATAAAATGGATGGTTTGGATCCACCCTCATATCCATCATATCCATTCATATCCCCCATGACTGGAAACCTATGGAACCCTCCATATATCTCCAACCATCACCCGCCCAGGCCTTTCCCGCAGGGACTGCCGAATAAGCCGCCCTTCCTCCCGCAGCTGCTCCGGCAGCTGCCTCAATGCCTCGCGACAGCCCTGCAGGCGGTGCTTGAAGAAGCGAAAGAGGCGATGGCCTTGGCGAAAGGTGGGCAACCAAGGATGGAAACGAAACTGGGGGAACTCAGAAACAAATAGGAAAATGGAAAAATGAGAAAATGAGAATGGAAAAGATATAATTGGAAAAATAAAAATTCAGGAAATAGACAAGTCATACCAAAAGGATCCAAAAGGATGAAAATGGTGGAGATCATAACCAAAACGCATGAAACTTGCGATTTTCATGGAAGTTCTGAGCAGTGATGAGTGGGTTTAGAGAATCCTTTTCCCCATGCTTTGCTTTTCAAAAAAGAATTGTTACCCTCTGGTAAACTAACAGTTCGCTATTGAAAATGGCCATTTATAGTGGATTTACCCATTTATTAAAAATGGTGATTTTCCATAGTTATGTTAGTTTACCAGAGGGTAACATAAACTATGGAAAATCACCATGTTTAAACGGTAAATCAACGAACTATAATAGCCATTTTCAGTAGCGAACTCTTAGTTTACCCGATGGGTAATTTGAAAATTGAGATGGACGGTTTGAGAAGAACGCACGATGCTTGCAGCACTGTCACATTCCCAGTGGTCTGGTCTCCTCAAGATCTGCTCAGCAAATGGACACTATGAACAACTGATTTTGGGGGATCAATAGCTATCCATCTGGATCATTTGCACATCCCAAAAAGGTCCCAAACCCGGTCAAGGCCGGGTTTAAGAAAACTGCTTTCCTCTTGACCCTCACCAGTCATTTGCGGGCGGGCAAATCAAGTTCCGTCCCTGAGTTGCTGAAGAGCATCCAATTTGTGGAACAAAATGCAGCTTTTTCTATGGTTCACTCAACTTCGCTGATGCTTTTCAAAACTTTAAACCCCATTTAACCCCTTTTTTTTCTGGACGGTTTCCCCCAGTGTCCCAGTGGAGCATCTCCTGCCAAGCCCAAGCGTCCAGCATGGCACGTCCGCACCAGCGCCAACGCTTCGCCACAGACGTCGCAGCGCGTGAGACTGTCAACTTCTGGAAGATCCACGCCACCAGTGGACCTGCGTAGGACCCCGGATCACTGGGATCTCTAAAAAAATAACTCCTAAGTTGCAAATCACTGGAAGTTGTATAAGTTGTATATACACATATGTTCTCATATTGTATTATATCTATGTACTATACTGTATATAGTGTATATATATAATACTATGTATATGCATATGTGCATATGCATATGTATATGTATATATATATGTACATGTATATGTACATGTATATATATATTATATCAAATTTAGATATTCATCTATATACGTGTTTATATCCACATTGATGGTATTCCTAACTCCTTGAAGGACGCCCCGGGAGCCCACCTGTGATGCCACCACTGCGCCAGGCACTCCGCATGCACCCACTTCATGGAGCCCTGACATCCGCAGGGCTGGATCAAGGCGCCCTCCGCGTCCAAACAGATGCGACACACCGGGGCCATGTCAGGGGCCTCCGGGGCCGCCGTGGGACCCGTTGGGCCCGCCATGGTCGCGTTGTAAAGCGCTTGAGCCGCTGCAGTTTGTAGCATTTTTTCGAATATTTCTGGGAAAATTTTACATCACATAAGATGAAATCCTCGAAAAAAAAAAAACGGGTGATTTGATAGCTGTAGAATGCTGTAGACACTTCTTCAATTTCAACAAAAAAAGGTAGCTCCACTCCCGGGAGGGAAATCAAAGGTCTAAAAATCCACCAGCTGGGCATTTGATCTCCACCCCAGTCCCCGCAGAAACCTTCTTGATCTCGTCCGGACTGATGAAGTCCTGCTATTCGAGATGAACTACTTGGTGGCGAACTACCCACGAATCGTAAGTGGGTTATAACCCCAGTGATTTACATGGGATTTTTGTAGGTTAATCCACTTATAACTGGGGTTATAACCCACTTACTAAGTGGGATGAGCCACCAAGTAGCCATAAACCAAAGAAATGGTGATGCAATGGAAGTTATTAACAGCAATGTGGGATATCGCAAGGATAGAAATTAGGAAGGTAAAAAAATAAAAATATATTTCTCCAGAAGCTGGGCCGCTATATCCTCCGACAATCACTGTTTGTGCTGTACCCTCAAGTGGTGATTCTATCCATGGTTTTTGGTTCGTGTTATTTCCTGGTTTTCCTAAACACACAAGGCGTTCATGCATAAATATCCTTTCTTTGTGTTTGTTGTTCGCGTCTATTCGAATGATTCTATACATATCACTGTGTATGAGTCGTTCACAACATGTTACTTGCATCCGGCACAGTGATAGGCAACTAGTTCACACGTTTATATGTTTACCCGGTTAGCCGTATGTGAACTGATTTCAGATTCTGTTGGCTGATCCTTAGAAATCCGTGAGGAGTCGCTGATATCACTGGTTTCAGCCATAAATCCACAAAAAAATCCATTATAAATCCTCTTTGGTTTCACAAAAACCCCATGCTTTAAAACACTTTGGGATATTGGAACACCCCGGATCTCAGTTCCTCCTCCGCCTTTCGCAAATGTCGCTCGAAGGCATCCTCAAGGATTTCCTCCTGCATAAGCAATAGAGGGCGGCTTTAGAGGAGCTTCCTAGGACATGGGAGTTGCTAAAAGCGACTTCAACATTATTAGCCCACAAGAAGTGCATTCTACCGACCAAAATGGGGAATTCGCCAACTAAACATGGGACTCGACCCGCATACTTTGGATTCAACCAATACGAATCGGTAGATTCAACCCCTAAGAATTCAACCCACAAGAATAGGGCAATCACGTTAGCAGAAAGCTGGAAGTTGATAACCTGCACAAATGTAGGATGTGAAGCATTATACTGACTACCTGAAGTATAGTAGTAGTTGGGGTCAACTATACATATATATATATATATAATAGTAACAGTACGGGCAAACCCCTCAGTTTGCCCGCGCCGACGACATGTCCGAACATCAAAAAACACTGTGTTTTGTCAGCTTAGCTACCTGTGCATTGAATGCAACAACAACAACAACAACAACAACAACAACAACAACAACAACAACATCAACATGATCAACATCATCAACATCATCATCATCATCATCGTCATCATCATCATCGTCGTCGTCGTCATCATCATCATGATTTGCATCTTCATCTTCATTTTCATCATTATATTCCTAATACCCTTGTTGATCTTCCCAATTGAATGTAAAGTTTAAAGGGGGTGGGAAATTATATGCCTAATCCCCTTGTTGATCTTCCCAATTGAATGTAAAGTTTAACGGGGGTGGGAAATTATATGCCTAATCCCCTTGTTGATCTTCCCAATTGAATGTAAAGTTTAACGGGGGTCGGAATATATATTCCTTCAAAATCCCTCAGAAGTTGTGTGGGCGTACTGGGGGGTTTGCGCGTAACAGTACCTAGTAACCTAGTACAGCATAGTTGGTGCCTATGACAGTATATAGTTTGTAAACAGGCCTTAGAGGCCAGCTATACCAGGGGTCTGTTGAAACTCCAAGAGCTCCGCCAAGCCTTACTGATCTCTGGTTCTTCGGCTTCTGCCTGCCCAAAATGACGGCGGGTGACGGCGGAAAGTTGCGACAAAAAATTGGGGAGATGATAAAACAGAAAATATGGATACAAGCAGTGAATAATATCAATCATCCAAACAAAACAAACAGAGAGACTTTTGTTCCTCAGTCATCAAGGCACTTCCGAGTCCCAACCTCAAGGAAGTTTTCCAGCATGAAGGGGCTGTTGTCCCTAGAAAATTCCGGCCCTTTCACCTCAGTGGCGAATTGAAACTGATTAAAAATGATGCCTGAGTTGTGTACGTAGTCTAAATTGGTTAACCAAACAATGGACGGCTAATACATGCGAATATTGAAAATGCCGAAAAATGTATGATTGCCTTGGTCTTCAATTTCGACATCTAACTGATTCCCTCTGCATTTGAGGCTACGGCGATCTGGTATTGCACCTGCAGCAAGGTCAGTTTATGTAGGTAGAATTCACTGAGTTGCATGTATGGCAACCGCGGAAAAGATGGAAAGTTGGACACTTAGAATTTGTAATGCAAGTATCATCTACGACATCCGGCAAAAACCTGTTCAATCTAGTAGGGTATTCCTGTAGTATTTACTGTCAACAGGAAATTCATTAAATATCGCCCAAGTTCAACTTTGAATCAACTGTACACAAAGTGGGACTACAGCAAAGCTCTACAAAGGTTCAAGTGACACTTGATTCACTTGATGGCTCAAAGGAGGACAATTTGCCGAAGTCTTCAAATGTCTGCTGTATAGTATATGTGTAAAACATGGAGTCCAAACCCAGTCACCAAGGTGCACCCAGTTCGGAAGAATACCTCTAGCTCCGAGCATTACTAGACCAGAATTCTGTGAAGCCAAAATTGTTTAACAATGAAAATGCTATTTTTTTTGGATATTGTTGGTTCATAAATATCATAAATATAAAATAAGATAAATTTCATAAATGGTTGATAATGCTATTGTTTGACTAACCAATTTTTGGATGTTTGTGGTTCAAAAATATCATAAAAGTTCCCCAAGTGGTCTCAAATGGGTCCAAAAATCACCTCGGAAGCAGTGTAAACGCCGGCCAGCTTAGCCAGGTATAGCCTTGGTTCACGTGTTTGATGAAAGATTCATCTCTCATTTTCACCTACCCCCAAGAAAAAATTGGTGAACATCCCACTATGGTCTATGTATGTCTATGTGTTCATGTTGAGGATCTTAAAACGCATTCGGAGGACCAGTGTTTTTCACCCAAACCTCTTTATAGCTGTGGGTCACACAATAAGATGTTGCCAAACCAGTGCTTTGAGAGTACCAGTAGCGTGGAATTAAGAAAATTGTATTGTTCAATTTCTCAAATACAGAATTTGGATCATTTCACTCTCAGTCTCAGATCCTAGCGAATATCCGAAATAGCAAGTTTTACCTCAATTAGATGATTAGATCAACTGGTACGGATCTTGACCGCCGATTTCAAAATTGCGCAACCTATGCTTTATCATCATGTTTCAAATTAGATAAAGCAGAGAAATCGGGTAACCTTTCGGTATCCCATTCATTGGCGTCTGGTCCATTGGGCCAAAGCTGCGCTCCCCATTGGGTGCACGGACGCTTCTTCCAGAGATTTCGTCATTGGCTTCCGTTGTCCTTGAAGGATGCAACCCACGATGACCCAAAGGTAGGTGTCCATATGCCCCAGCAAAAAAAAAAGATAGAAAAGGTCACACTATTTTTGTAGGATGTTGTTGGATTTGTTTTTCTATCTGTTTGGGGGTATCATATATGCAGCATGTTGATAGATGTTGATCTAATCATGTCAGTTTGAAGCCAAATAAGTTGCCGCAAGTCAGCAAAATTGCCTAAGTAACATCAGGACAGTAATATGATAAACCCAAGAACAGTCCTTTACGATCCCATTTAGCCAATGTTTGAATTTCGGGGGTTATACTAAAACCAAAGAAAATGTCTATTTCTGGCTTCGCCGCACCATTGGTGGTTCATGGCGATTCTATCTCCGTTTATGCATAGATCTATATAGATCTGCAAGTTCCAATTGTGTGTGTAGACTTATAGCTACATTATTGTATAATATTGTATATGTTAATAGTTTATCTAGAATCTACATAGATCATAGATCATATAGTTCATATATTTACACAATCCTCATTAATGGATGGTAAAAAACATCAGTGTTTTTTGGCTAACCAGCAATCATGGCCTGCCGTGGGCTTCGTGGTGCTCGACGCCTGGAGATCGCTCTGCTCTCTGACCATCGGATGGTTTCTAAAAGGTTTGAAGCAGTCCTGCTGTGGTGTTCTGGGCCGTCAGGAAAAAGCCCCTATTGGGATACAAAGAATCTTGAAAACTTTGTAATATGCACTGCTAAATGTCCTAATTATCCTAATTGAACATCCCCACCCAACCATTGGGGGTTTCTAATCTCCAACGTGTCAAGAAGTCATGTTCAAAATCCGCAAAAATGGGCCATTTACCAAGCTCTGATATCCTTTGGATCTTGCCCCACCCACCAAGCAATCGCGCACCTGTGGAATGGTGCTGCCACATCTGCACCAAAGGCCTGAGAAACAGAAGTAAGACCATTCCCAAACGAACAGATTGAGATCCTCAAAATATAAGACTTAACTCCATTAAAATACCCAGTTATTGATTACCAAGGCGTATTGAATCTATTATGAAATCCTGAATTGTGGATCAGAGAACAGATTGCCTCAGAACCATCAAGTTAAGTGCCTTCTCCAGCCACCCAAGCCACCATAAAAGTGACCGATGGCACTGCCACCAGTTGACCCAACTTGGTTTCCCCACCCAGGTGCTGCCAAGCAAAACGACCCGGCGACCCACGGGGCTTCATCGCTTCATCCCATTTGGGGCAGCGACTGCGATGGGGAATCCTGCAGGATTTTTGCTGTTCATGATGTCACAATGTCGTGGCTAAAGATGTTTGTGAATTTTGTCAGAACCAAAAGAAATGGTTTGAATCTGCGTTCGAATCTGGAGAATGACATGTTGAACATCTCCTACTGCCGGATTTTGTAAGCACTTGGGCACAAGAGTTCTTTGCATGCGTGGATTGCGAAGGCCGGCTCAACTTGGTTGAAGTCTCCCTATTATCAAACATCGCGGATATATGCTGATATAAGATATATAATGATATCATGAGATACCGGTATGTGTATGTATAATATGTGTATATATATATATGTGTGTGTGTGTTCAGAAGTCCCCTCCAATCGCCTCGTGTGGATGGGAAACAATTTGGGTGCAGTACTCGCAAAATGTGGAACTGTTCGTTGTCTGTTGCCAAAGCAATCTCTGCTGTATGCAATACAAAGCCACAAAACGATGAAGGCGGCGAGCTGACAAGATGGTAAGGTCTGCTTGGAAATCTCGAAAACCACCAATGTTAATAGATTTACTTGAGAAATCAATTATATGCAAACGCAAACCTGCTCAATGTTCCAACCTGTGTGTACTAATGCTACCCAAGTTTTATCTCGACCATATAAAGTCTACGCATTGATTCACTCCCTGACGGTCTGGATGTGGCTGGATGTGGCTGGCATATGTTGGTGCCCTTTCCCCAAGGAACAACAAACTTGCTGAATCAGCAAAGTTCACAGGGCCTGGGGGATTCAACAAATCACAGGTTGGGATCAACACCTTGCTGAAAAGAAAATTGTGGATAGCAGTAAAGTGAATCATTTTTACTATCTATATCTGTATTATATATACGTATAGTATACCTTGCAAATTCAAGATATGTTAAACAAAACTTCAACATACTTCAACTGAGCTCAATGCACATGACCTTCACAGGGCAGCTGCCTGTTACAGCTCGACCTGGCCGTCTGCAAGGCTTCAGTCGATTTCATATCTACCATGTTGAAAGATAAGATGCAAATGAAGAGGGGGTACAGTTTCAGATGCTTTAGCATATTTTAGCATTCTTATTTTGTCCTTGACATCCTTTCACCCCACTGAGCTTGCCTCACAATGGTGGACGCAAAGTTCTTTCCGGAGGTGCCCTGCCGCATGCAGAAACGCCGTCAGAAGCGCAGCGAATCATGACGGAGGCTGCCAGAAGGTGCTGTCAATGTTGACAACGCATGCTTCAAATTAGGCCAACCCTAACATGAAGAAACATCTTTGAAGGCAAAACTGCTGCAAATCCAGTGGCTTGGCAAGAGTGGCGGCCACCATCCGTCATTAATTGTGAATATGATCTCCGAAGGCGACATTGCCTCGAGAAGGTTCGGTGAGCCTCAGTTTTGCATGAGCTGTTGATGGCTCAAATGCTGGCGAGAACAACAAGCTGCATCCCATCCAGCCACAAAATTTAAAAAGCCGATACAGCAAGCAGTCATTTTTGGCCATGTGCCGCTTGAAAGATCTTGAGAGAATCGCACCTCCTCCGCCCAACTTGAGCAAGAGGATCATGTCGCCCACGCTGTTGGTGGGGACTAGCGTGGAGTTGCAATTGAGCTCACAGCCCAGCGTGTAACGTTCAAATTGCTAGATCCGATTCGGGCAACGCCGTTCCTCTCTGCTCAGAGGTGGATCATGGCAAGTCGTGCAAGATCGGTAAGGTTTCAAGCAGAGGTAGCAAGTCTAGAGAAGGTATGCCTGGTGGATCGGCCTCACCCATCCAAGCTCGAAGCTCATCTGCTTTTGAAAGCATTTCTTTGCCAATTTGCCTGGCCTCCTGCTTCTTCTGTTCAACAACTTCGGGGTCACCACCCTGGTTGATCACACTTGCGGTGGTGGCAAGAAGCCACGCATTGGCAGCCAGGAGCTGCAATTCATTCTCAATGTTCTTGTATTTCTCTTCGGCCTTGGAATCCTTCAAGACCTGCGCAATCGCATTCATGCGGTCCATGAGGTTCTCAAGATCGCTTGTGAGATGGTTGGCCCACTCACCCACTTTGGGGTAGAGTCTCCTGAGGGCTTTGAGGAATACTTCGAACCCATGTTCTCCACATAGAGCACAAATGGCCGAAAGAGCAAGTAAAAGCTCTACAATGGGGTCACTCCAAGCGGCAAATTTCTGGCGCATCCACAGAGCGAATTGAAGGGTGAAAGTCAACACCTTCTTTGCAACCCAAAGACTCACTAGCGATCCAGCCAAACCAATGATAGCAGCACACACAACGGAAACACCAAGCGCTGCCTCCCCAACCATGGCAGCAACAGCTGACCCTGCAGTAACAGCCGTTGCCGCAGAAACACTAGAAGCACCAGCTGCAACATGTCCTACTGCTGTTACTGTGAGTGTGGCCCCTCCACTACCACCAAGCGCGCTCAGCCAAGCAGCTGGACCCCCCACAACTACAGCCACAAGTACAAGAAGACCAGCAATGTGCCTGTACTCCATTCCCTTGGCGGCAAGGGGCGACACGAACTCGCCCACATGTAGGGTCACCGTCCACATAACACTTGAAAAGTTTTGCAGTACTTCAGTGAACTTAAGGGCACCTTGGACAAGTTTGGCCAGTTTGCCCTCCTGGCCAAAACGCCTCTGCAAATTTTGCACCTCCACGTGCAAGCGCTTCATGGTGGGAATCATGTAGTCCATGATGATGCTGTGAATCTCCCGGGAGGATGTCTGCATCTGAACATGTTTGAGATGTTTTCATTGGCCATCTGCTAGTGATAGCAAGTCAGAAACGAGTGAGAAAGCAGTATGAACAAAAAACTTCCGTCAAGAAACGTCTTCCCATTTCTCTGCTAGGATTGAATTGTGAGCTGACTGGATGTAGGTCTCGACCTGGATCAAGTGGCCATGCGCTTCTTTGTGGAGTCGACGGGCTTCTTCTGCTTCTATGCTTGAGGCATTCATTTCGGCCTCAATATCACGCAGCTGGATACAAACCATGCGTACTGAATGGAAAGCTGTCTTGAAAGGTTTCAAGCACCCTTCTCTTACATCCTCTGGCAAGTTCGACAAAGTTGTGCGAAACTCTTCCATGCTTCCTGCCAGATCTGGGGCGTTCCCTGTTGGTCGAAAGTTCACAACTTGAAGGAGTGGCCTGGAAGCAGCGCTGATGTCTTTCAGCAATTTGGGGAACATGTGTTCCTTGTACCTGCGCAAATCATGTTCATTGCTCCAAACAATGGGTCCTCTCTCCAGCAGCACTTCTGCCGCTGGTTCATATGGCTCAAAGCCAGCCTGCTCACGATTCAACATGATGTGAGAGCAGAAGTGCTCATACTGATCCAGCTGCAAGGTCAGAGAATTTGCCGGCAATATCCATTCATAAAGCCCAAAGCTCGCAAGGTTCAAAGCAAAACTGGGATCAAAGGGAAGCCTGGCAACAGGATCATTGTTGTTGATGAAGTTTAGGCATGTCTCCTGCATCCAAATCCTCGCACGCATACGCCGTTGTTTGGCACGGGCGTTCGTGCTCTCCATCTCCACAAAAGGTGCTGGGCCGCCAAAGCCAATACAACGGGCGTGGTTGGCAATGTGCTCGTGATTGTGAAGTGGACTTCCATTTGTCTGGTGCTCACGCCAAAGGAAGAGCATAACTATTTGGGCAAGAGCAGCACCAAGAGAGTGACCGGCCAACAAGATTTCATCGCTCTCGATGCCTGCAATGGCGGCCCTCAAGTCTTCCTGCAGCAACCGATCTGACAAGTAGGCATGCCAACCTGCATGGACCCCAACAAGCAAATCTGCAAGGGGGGAATCAAAATTGATAGGCGCTGACAAGTTGGCAGCCCAATCTTGAAGGGTCACCGAACCACGGAACACCAACACATAGATCTTCCAAAGAACTGCCAGCGCGCCACCAGTGACTTCAACGTCAAAGGCGCTGAACTGAAGTGGCGCTGTGACGTCTGCAGCCCTTCGAAGCGTGGCCTTCGCCCTGTACTCCACGCCATCACCGCAATCCATGACCCACTCGGCACCATCGCCACGTTCATCATGGTTCTGGTAGACCCAGTTGGAGGCGTTCCAGGCCAGCCAGTACCTGGGTATGGGTCGAAACAGTGGTACCCAAATAGACACCAAAAAAAGAACACTAAGGAGCAAAGGTCCTTATCTGCCCCAACGATTTTCTGAACCGAGCCACCTGAGCATCTGTTGAATCTCCTCCATGTCACTCCTCTCGTTGCAACGATTACGATGAGAGCTAGGAAATTGCTGAGCCAACTTGCTGCAAGGACAAATGCCATGATAGAACAGCCACTTCCTACTCAGGTTACTTGGCGGTTCGAAACTCTTCCAACTCCAAACATCGAGGTTTTAATCTTCCAACTCATCTCGGATCGAAAAAACTTAGCCATGAAACCTCCAAGGTCCGCTGCCGGGCTGAACTCGGACGGACGGCCTGGCGTTCCATGGCCACGAAATAGATTGGAGCATTGGATCTGTTCATGTGGCCACTATTGCTGGCATTTCATATGGGGATGGGAGTACTGGAGATTGGATGTACTTGGATGCACTTAAGGTAAGACCTGCATGGACCTGCTAAGCAAATGATTTTCGACTGCACCACAAAATGCAGCCAAAGCCATCCACACTGGTACTCCATGGCAGGTCTACCTCTTTCCAACTGGGGATGCTAGCAAGGTCACAGCCTGCTCAATGGAGTTTCCAATTTGCCATGTGTGCAGCAACTGCGTCACATCGTTGTTCTGCTCAGATACGGGCCTGAGTTTCAGTTGATTGGCTAGTACGTCGCTTTTCGCTTTGGAATCCACGTCTCAATGGTTGAACATTTGACGCTTCTTGGAAGCCCAATTCTCAGCACCGAACCTCACAGCCCCTGGAGGTTTGGATCGGCTGGGGGCTTGCCCAACGTGGATGTGGGCCTGGTCGGAAAGTGTAGACCCTTTGCAGCAGGATGTCTTCGCAAACGGCAAGGGGTTCGAAGTTCAAAAGATATAAAAAGATTTCATACCGGGTGGTGGTTTCAACCCCTCTTGAAAAATATGAAAGTCAGTTGGGATCATTATTCCCAATAGATGGAAAAATAAAATTCATGTTCCAAACCACCAACCAGCATAGGATTGCACTGATTGCATCATGAACCTCTGTGAAATTCGACAGAAAATCTTGCGGGATCTGCAAATGTCAAACTCCTGGGTTCCTTCAATGTCTACCGCAGCAACGTCCCAAGTGACAGCTCGCCTAGTCAGCGCAGAGAAGATGCAGGCCACCAACCATCGCAAATGTTGCCAGAAGAGACAACGAAATGGGATAATGACATGCCCAGTTTAGTGCTGATCAAGTTTGATCCATAGACAAACACAAACATGTACATTTAGGATTTGCTTCTGATAAAATGTGAACTTAGCTTCAGGGTTTGCTCATCTATGTACATGGATTGCTTAGATTGCAGAGACGTGTACATGTAAGCTTATCCGCAGTGTCATTGAGAACGAGTGGTTGCGATGGCCAAGATGTGGAAGCAATTCTGTGTAGGGCAATTGAATCACTGCTGTGGTTCCTAGAATTCAAAAAAGATAGGATCGAAAATGACTATATACTGCGAAATTAGGATCCTCAAATCAATCTAGATCAATGTGCAAATTCTGGATCTATACCGAGATCGGATTGACACTCAGAGAAGGTCTCTGAAAAACCATGAATCTTCCGCACAGCGACAGTCATTAAACCCACCTGAATCTTGGTTCCCTGCCAATCTGCTAGCAATGGATATTATTCATATATATATATATACACATATAGAGTTACATCATAGATATCTAATAGTGCTACAATACATTGCACCCACCAATGTAACTAACAATATTCAGATCTGGTTGGTGGCTTCAATCCCTCTGAAAAATATTAGTCAGTTGGGATTATTATTCCCAATATATGGACAAATATAAAATGTTCCAAACCACCAACCAGATATTGTCCAGTCATGCCCGCAGATCTTTTTCCGCGGCATTTCATTTTTTGTTACCTGTGAATCCCAGGCGAATGCAGCAAACTGGGTAACGTGGCTAGGCACCTGACAAATTTCCAAGGAAAATCTACAGCTGGTTGGTGGTTGACCTACCCCTCTGAAAAAATTATGGAGTTCGTCAGTTGGGATGATGACATTCCCAATAGATGGAAAAATAAAATTCATGTTCCAAACCATCAACCAGAAAATCACACCAGTTTTCATGGGGAATGTTTCTTGACCGGAAAACCTGGTAAATCTATGAAACCGTACCTAGTTCTATCAGCTATAAGGGGTCTTTATAGCCCTTTTCAATAGTATTGGGTTATATTATTATGTGATATTGTTATATTATGTTATATTGGGTATACCCAACTATATTGTTTGGTTGTATTAATATAACAATAATGTAATGTTTGGTATATTGGGTATTTAAGACTAATTACACCAAACACTACCACATCGCTAAATGATTGGCGTATCACTCCACTGGCGCTGCATTCGGGCGCTGCCGAATCGGCACAGCTCCCAGCTTCAAATGGAGCCAGTCCGATCCAGGGCCCAAGGGCCCAACGCTGGCGATGCTGGAAGCTTCCTGTGAAATGTTTCTGGGTATGGCTCTGGGAAGTCCAGCTGGATATTTCTGGAGGAATGATCTACCCGGCCTGGTAAACTGTTAGAGTTTGCGAACTTGAAAATGGCCATAGAAATCGTGGATTTAGCCGTTAAAGTGGTGATTTTCCATAGCAAACTGTAACAGTGTACCAGAGGGTATCGTTTTCAGCAGTTTGAATTAAACCTTCCAAAAGATTTGTTGGGTCCATGGTTTTGTCCCATTCTGGCCCATCTTTTTCGGTTGTACCTCTTCGCATGACATGGTTTTTGTCGTGTGATAAGTGGCTCGTTCGGATCGCAATAATGACTAATTCCTGATAGTGTATTGGTGTATCACCATCTTCACTCGGGTATTATCTTCTGTGGCGCTCTGCATAAGACGTCGCTTTCGTTTGGTTGGCTTTTTCCCCAACCCTTCAGTTCCAACCTTGCCACCCCTTTCCCGAGCCATACGTAGTTCCGGAACTGCCGGAGACGGATGACAGCCGGTTGGCATCAAACCAGTGCCAAGAGCCTCTGGCAAATAACTCTACACTTGAAAGCGCTTGCATTTCAGACAGTGAGCCAGGAATTAAATATGTTCAATGTTCATCAAAAAAAAGCAACTGGGTTAGTGCAGGACTCAGACAAAAAGCAACATCCACCTCATGGTCCGTTGGTATAGATTGGAAAGTGATTGAAGATATTCAAGAGAACAAGCTGTGCTGGATAGATAAATGGACGGTTTCAAGAGGCTCAAGCAAGTTTCAAGGGCTCTCAGGATGGCATGGTTTTAGAAGCACCTACGCCAAGCTGACAAACATATATTTTAAATCTGCTGAAGTCTTCTGGTGCAATCCTGTTTCAAATGATGGTGTCTCCAGTGTCTCCAAATTTTGAGAGACACCCTGGACACAGACATTCCTAACATGGCATGACTACCATGACGGCCTCACACAAACCTCAGGCTCAACCGGGAGTTGATGGTAGCGATTCCAGGGATGCAACTGAAGGGGAGGTGGAACAGCCTGCACATTGTGCGTGAGATATATAGGTACCCGCTTCAACATTCTGCTTCTGTAGCAAAAACGGGAATGTTTTACCGAAATATTCTTCGATATGAATGTATAATTATATATATATAGTTATATATGTATATTCTTTCCAAGAATCAATAATTTTCCAAAGGGCCAATGCAAAAAATTGTCTTCAAATATATATATAATTATGTATATATATGTATATATCAGCTTGACTGTTGACCATCATTGAGCTGCCAACTTTGGCATGGGCCCCGCCATGGCGCCGTGGCACTACTCCTCCGAATCGGGAAGCAGTTCCGGTCCGCCTTTGCCGTCCAGCATGGAGAGAAGCGCCTGGCACGGGCAGATGGGGACCTGCCAAGCGCTTTTTTTTGCGGCTCGAAAGTTGGAGGCTGCGAAGTCTGAAAATGGGAAAACCTACAGGAAAAGCCATGGAATGTTGGACCAGTCGAGAAGGGTCAATTTTTGAGACAAAGACATGTGTTGCACACGTTTGGAAAGCAGAAGTCATCCCAAGATCTGGACGTTTTCGGGTGAAATCGGACCAAGGGCCACCGGGCTGACACGGCCCAAGACATCGACGCCTCCATGGAGGGAACATCAGCCTTCTCCTGCCCAGGTGATGGAGCCTGAAAGATATGAATGTCACTTGAGATCATCCCAGTGATCTGATCTACAAATACTTCAAAGCACCAACCGGATGAATCATGTGTTATTCCCCACTATATCAATCTGGTTGGTGGTTGACCTACCCCTCTGAAAAATATGAAAGTCAAATGGGATTATTGTTCCGTATATACAGTATGGAAAAATTATAAAATGATCCAAACCACCAAGCAGCAATATGATATCCCCGTGGTTTATTTTAGATATCAAATGTCTATCATCTCTCGGGGTGAAAAAACTCTTCCTGGCCTCGTCAGCTGGCCTCAAGGGGGGATGGTGGATCCGAGTGCTTTAACATGAAAATACATGAAAATACCAGATGGGTTTGTCTGAAAATAGGGTAATTATATTCCCAATTATAGCCATTTAATAGGGATAATGATCATTAAACATTGGGTTTAGGGGTACAGTATTTTCAGACACCCCATATGGCTGCTTATGGGTAGTCAACATACATGGCTGCTATATGGCTATGGGTCCAGACACCCTGGTACCCTAGGTACAAAACAGCTGGCTATGCTCTAGATCAGTTCCCTGAGCTCAGGGCAAAGATTCCAACACGGAACTAAATCCTGAGGCCACGGCTGCCGGGTCACCAAATGATCACCAAATGACCATACTGTGGATGGAAGAAATCCTGCACCACCTTGGATGGTTGAAACCCTATAAATAACGGGATAAACCACCTATCAACTGGTGCAGGATTTCTTCCATCCACCGTAGGTATGGTCACTTTCCGATTTCTGTTTGGTAAAACAGCAGTTATAAGAAGTTTCACTGTGGCATATGTGGCATGCTGAATCCATAGATGCCAAAGCGCCTTTCCGCCGGCGCCGGGGAGCTGGCGTTTCCTGGTCGCAGGGATGAGAACAATCAGAACTGGCGTTTCCAAATAATAAGTGATGGAAAAATATGGGAATATTTTTTGGAAGATCAAACAATAAGTGATGGAAGATTATGGGAAATTTCTATTCTAAACATGGCTAGATCCCACTTTTACAGACTTCCAAGGCGTTTTGAATTTGGACCCAAGCCAGATCTGGATATGGAAACCCAAGGCAAATCATGGGATTCGACCATGAGTAGGGAACTCTATGAGCATTGGGTTGGCTTAATTGCGTCACAGCAAACTCGTGGCTTTCCATTAAAATCCCTTCAAGATCATTGTGCATTGAAATCCACTGGAAAGTCTACATATATCATATAATGCACGAAATCTATTAAAAGAATATTTGAATCACTTACCCTCTGGTAATTTAACAGTTTGCTATTGAAAATGGCCATTGAAATAGTGAGTTTTCCCATGAAAAATTGTGATTTTCCATAGTTATACCATCCCTTGATGGAATTCTCGCACCTGAATCGTCTTCTCGGCTGCAAACATCGGCTCCTGGCGGTCTCCAACTTTCAGTTCCAACCAGGACATGGTTTTGTGGTGAAATCCAGATGCCTTCTGTGTTTAAAGTCTTGAATCCCAAAGATTTTGAAAGTGGAATCTAATGGAATCTAGATCCCGGATGTTTTTCAGATGTTTTTCAGCTTTCAGATCGAGTTTTTGGCATTTCTGGCATCCCACTCATCGTCTCGACGGCCTCGGCTAGTCTGGTCTCTGACACTTCGGTGGAAGTAGAGACTGCTTCAAAGGTCTCTGTCTTTTCCGGATCCTCAAGGCACGGGACACCTCTGATGATTTTTCCATCCATAATCTGCCATAATCTGCCGCAACATGTGTTGTCATGGTAGGTTGCTGTTGATGAAACATCAATGAAATTGATGAATTGTTTGTTTCAATCAAAAAAAACTGATGCGACAATATGAGCACTACATCTGGATACATCTGGAGATTTCCTAAAATTGGGTACCCCTAAATCATCCATTTTTTGCTGGGATTTTCCATGAAATCAACCATCCAGCGAGCTTGGGGTACCCCCATGGATTGGAAACCCCATCTAGTTTTTTTCATCAGCAACCTCCGTCCTCTGCCATGTTCATCTCCAAAGTTGCCACACTGGGTTCTTCGTAATGCACAGCTTCAGGTCCTTCAGGTTTGGGTTCCTGCAAACGGTGCAACCATCAAGGAATTTCATGGGAATTATAATGGGATAACATGGGAATATATAAACCAACAACCTGATGTTTGGGTTTGTCTGATTTTTTTGGGGGGATGCCCTCAAATGGCCGTTTGATGGGGAAAATGATGATAAACCGTGATAAACCATCAAATTTGGGAATATCAAATTTTCAGACAAACCCAAATGATGGAGATGCATCATCAAATGGGAAGAAGGGAGATTTCATCTATCGATTGTGTTGAAACCAGCTGGGAACATACTGGCACATACGTGACTGAAGGGAAAGTGTGGAACAGTGTGGAACTGTGCACACAAGAGCCTGGCTTAGAATTACAGTGCCTTTAAAGAAACAGCCCAAGGTCTAGTCATGTCTGGTCTATTTGAGAAATCCACATGCCTCCTCCAATGGCTCTGGCTCTAGCATTTGAAGCAGGGCCTCGCAGGTTTGTTTTGGTGGTTGTATTGTTGGGTGATAGATTTCTTAACCATGATCAGTATATTACCCTCTGGTAATCTAACAGTTTGCTATGAAAAAACAGCATGTTTAATAAGTAAGCCATCTACAGTAGGCCATTTTCCATAGCTATATATGTTAGATTACCAGAGGGTATGTCCATTTCATCCCCATCATAAAATAGCTGGGATGGGCAAACATGGCTCTTTTTAAGAAATATAAGCTGTGTCTGTGCGTAATAGTATACTGTGAGGGGACATGGCACGGGAAGCTGTTTCGACTCAGTGAGGAGGGTCCACTTTCCGGGGCCGCAAGAAACCATGCTAACCTTTTGCGCTCTGGCAGCGTGCCGCCTTTACAACGCTTACTTCAGGAAGCTGTTTTGCGCACATCTGGGGGGATTATCGCCGCGCATCCCGCCAGCGCGCCAAGTTTACATGCGGGTTTGAAGGCCGTAATCGGGACGTACGAGGGGTGTAAGCACAGATGGGAGGTGCGCAATTCCCGGGCTTGAGGGGTTCATTGCAAGTGGTTTCCTGCCCAGTTTGGTAATGGAGAATGCCCCTGGTTATAAGTCAGTTTGTGCTCAAACGGCGCTGCCACAGGGCCGGCTTTTGTGGCCGCATCCGTATATGAAAATCGCCTTCTGAATGGCGGGCCCTTAATGTATATATATATATATCAGTATATATATATTATTATATTCATATATATATACTATATACATATATATATATATTATTACATATATATATATATATATTACATAAGGTTTGGCTCCGGCGGGAACCCCAACTCCCCGCTTAGCCGAAACTTAGCGGGCGTCTGGCCATACGACCCGCGGGCGGCGCTGTGGCCTATTAGCAGCTGCCTTGCGACTTGTGCTCTACCCCACTGTGCAGGGGGTAACACCGTTGCTTCTGGTCTACCTGTACCTCGTTGATCCTCGTTGTGAACCCGGATTCGTGTGTGGCTGGACTTTGTCGTCGCGCACTTCCTGGATTCCTCTTGGTCTTCGTGGGCATTTCCCTGGGGTTATCATTTTAACTTCGGGACGGGTTTTTTCTGGTTCTCTGCCATAAACCAGCTTACAATTCGATTTATTTATGGTTGGTCGCTATCTCTTGCTGAATTTCTTTGTGGGATCGTATTTGCACTTTGTGGTTGAGGATTTTGGCAAAAATTACACCTTCCAGACGCAGGCGTACCAGGAGACTTCGAGCCCGTGCAAGGCTCCACTGGCATCTGCACAAAACTGGACTGAGGCCTCTTACCTACGAGGAATTGAAGGTCATCAGGGGTATTTTGTCAACCCATCACTCTGTAGATTCAAATTTTCATCGCCGTATCACTGCAGCAATGGAGCAGTGGAGAACGAAGCAAGCTCCCCCATGGAAATGTGGATTCTGCAAAAGGATTACAAAAGCGACAGCCACATTTTGTGGACAATGTGGACGACACTGGACCGATGCAAGCGATGGATCGTTTCAGCATGTGCCCAGAAATCAAAGACAAGTTCAAGCAGAGGAGTCATACTACACCCATTGGCAGGAAGACGATCCTCCATGGAGTGCAAGATCCTGGGACAGTGGCAGATGGAACTCCCAATCTTCCAGGACAAGATCTCAGACTCCGGCTGCACCGAAAACGACCAAGAACAGACGCAAGAACAAGACCAAGAAGGGACAGGGCAAGGGGAAAAGCCAACAGCAATTTCAGGCGCCCTCTTTGCCAGAAGCTCCTTGGCAGTCAGCGAAGGCATCGGCATCAGCATCGACGCCCTCGCCTGCAGAGCTTCAGCTCCGCACTTTGATGACTGCAATGAAAAAGAACGAATCGAATTTGCCTGCCGACTTGCAGGCATTGCTCCAGGAGACGCACAAGACGCAGTCTCAGGATATGACAAAAGTTCTCCATTCAGCAGTGACAAAACTGGGGAAGGCGAAGAAGGCTCTCCAGGATGCAAGGACATCGAGAATGAACTTGCACAATGTTTGGAAGAACTATTTGACGGCCAGCGTGGAGAAGTGGAAGGAATTTTGCCTCGATTTCGAGAAGCAAGACACGGAGCTGGCTCAACAGGTCCAGACGGCCTCGGAGGCTGTCAAGACAGCTCAAGAAGGGCTGGAGGCATCCAAGCGGGAAGCCAAAGATGTGGAGGACCTGGACAACGATGGCAGAAGCGATGTGCCATTGGAGATCTCGGACGAAGAAACACAAGAAGCTTTGGACACCAAGGGCCAGGCTTTGAAAGAGGGCCTGAACATTATGCTTCACAATTTGGAGTCGCTTCGAGACAAGGCGGATCTTGCCGCAGAAGAGCAGGCAACCAAACGTCCGCGCACCAAGGCTCCAGATGACTCCTCTGCTGCGCCATCGCAGCCTTTTGCGATGCCCGGTCAATAGACCGACAGGAGATTGGCTATGGGCATTCATTTCATGGAGATTTTGCTCCATGTGTTCTCAAGTGGGGGCATGCTGCAGTCAAAAGGAGACGGTTTGTCTCTGAATGGCAAGCTTCGGTTGATGCATTTGATGAGGCCTTTGCATTGGGGTTTGCACATGGTTCTCACCACGTTCCCTTTGTATCCCAAGAAGCTCAACATGGTACACGCAGCCCCAAAACTTGCAGTTTTGATGAGAATATACAGATAGCATTTGGTCTTGATGATGAATTGCGAATGTTTTCCACTGTGATGCTCCATGAATCTTTGCAGCAGTGGAGAGACAAGCCATGGAAATTACGCACAAAGCATGGTGCCGCCAGGGCTGCAAGACTCCTAGCAGATCCCGGTCACTTTGACGGGTGGATCTCGGATTGTATTGCAGTTTCTGAGGAGGCCTTTGATCAAACACCGCGTTGTTCCCTTGATGATCACAGTTTTGAAACTGACCATGAGCGACAGATTTTGAAGCCATTGCCACCAGCATTGTGCAGATGTGATGATGACATCCCAGCGCCAACCTTCACCAGGAGTCACGATGAGCCACCTGCTGACAATCGTGCTACACCCTGGGATGCTGATCCAAATCTCTTGCCACCCTGGTGGTCACAGTTGCGTTCATTGCATGATAGGCTTGGTGTAACTGAATGTCTCGAGGAAGGCAAGGTCATCTATGTTTGCTCGTGGTATCTACATGGACACAATTTGCGACGCTGTCGCCAACATCGGGTCCTACGTTTGGACCCTGATTGGACGACGTGGCTTGACATCATCAAGGAGACGTGGCAAGATCTACTCGTTAGAGAACAACCAGTTGAATTTGGCCTTGTTTCGCCTCATCCTCCAGCTCAGGTTTTTCAAGGTCATGTTGCACATTTGATACTCAGCCAAGATTTAGATCATGTGGCTGCGCCCGCTGGCATAGTGTCTGCGATCTACCGATGCACTGGTGGGGACATTATTGTTCAGAATGCCCATGTTCTTCCAATGACAATCTCGAAAGAAGAAACCATTGATCTCATTCCAGCTCGACCACAATGTACGATTCGTCAATGTGAAGTGCAAGTTGGAGATACTCCGGCGCAGGGAGATGATGCAATCCCAGTTCCGGACTACACTTCCATTGTTCTGGATATTTTTCCATTGGCTGATGATGTGGATGATTTCACTTCATTCATGGCAGCTGGGAATCGACTTCGACCACAGTCGAGTGAACCACACCTCATGGACAGACCTCATCTTGCACGTCAGGAAGAAGAGCATGATGAGGATGTACCAGATACCAATAGTACTGAGACTGAAGAAGACCTTGCGTGGAGCCACTCAACTGTCTTTTCAGTCCATGCACCACCCAATGAAGGGTATGTGAATACGGTACATGACACCAATGGACCACTCACAAGAAGGAATGTTGCCAGATTGGCAGGCTTCAGTCTTGAGGACCTGCAGATGGTCCACAGCATGCCAGTTCCACCACGAGATTTGCGTGAAAGAGGAATGCGAGCCTTTCTTGCACAGCACCGTGCTGATCTACCTTGTGGATCAAGGTTGGCCTCGTCCTCATTGATGTGGAATTTCATCCTCAACCACCGTCATGGGATGTGGTCAGGGCTCGATGCCCTATCTATGTTCCTACTGTGCTTTCTCGTCACCAAATTTTGCGAGCAGTGGACGTGTACCTCTACGCACAGTTTGTGCAAGACACATGTTTGGTCTGGCACAATGATGAACTGATACGACAAGACCAAGGGCTTTATGCAAGAATTTATCATGGTGATTACTTGCGCATTGCTCTGCCTCCGCCATTGACTCCTATGCCAAATGTGCCGACCAGATGCATCGCAAGACTTCTGCAGATGGGGGTGGCCGAGCAGGACATTGAGGCATTTTACTGGATCTCGGATGTTGACAATGATCTGACTTCCATGCCTACAGATTTTTCTGTCATAGAGGACGTGCAATCCTCTGATGGTCCATCTCCAAGGTCACCGGGATCAAGCTCTGCCATGAATCTTCTCCAAGTGGCTACAACACGTGTCAGCAAAGGCAAAATCATAGAGCATCATCGCTGTGAGGACTTTGCGGCGCTCCGCGCTCAATATTGTGCGCAAAGTGGAAACCATGATGACGCCACTGCAATCCCTGGGCAAGAGCAATTACCTTGGTTTGAAACTGAGTTAAGACCGCTTTGGCACGCCCATGCAGTTCCAGGCCCTGGAGGCATGGAGAGATTTGTCAAGGTCCTCACTTGGTACAATGACCATCATAGACATCAGATTTGTGCTCAACCGCGTGAAGTGCAACTCTTTGATGATCCATGGGAATGGAGAGCTCTTCTGACACGAGCATGGATTGACCAGGTCGACTCAGCTGCTGACGTGCATATGTTTGCGGTCGAACCTCGACCGCTGTATGGTGCGGAGGACATTGTGGCCCACGTCATATTGGTCCAAAACCCTCCTGTTCATTTCAAGTCTCTTCACGTGGCTGTCTTGGATGATGGTGTTCAGCAGGGATACCCGAGGCAATGGGTACTTATCATGCCTACGCTTCTGAGAGCTCACGTGGGTATTGGCATCATGGGATATAGTGCACTTTGCCATGGAACATCACCGGGCGCAGTTTGCAGCCTGTGGCATGGAGATAGAGAAATTGATGCTGCAGTAGACTTTGTCGCTATGCATGGTAATGCTTTGACGCTCTACGTGCAACGGCACCGATGGCCCAATGAAGTCACCCCTTTGGAGAGTGACAACTTGTTGAAGACAAAGGCCATACGCAAGGCTATTCAACTTGAACTCCTTGTCCATGATGATGCACCTGAGGTACAGTCCTGCGTACAACTTTTTGCTGGGGTTCAATTCTTGCAACTCCCTGACTTCATCGAAATTTATGGTGAACTTGATCAGGCAGCAGTTGAGACAGAGCTCAGAAACTGGGGGCATGATTGCCGCTGCGTGCTTTTCAAAGAGTTTCGGGTGGCTGTATGCTATCCTGCAGCGATTTCAAGAGCTTCCAGACCTGCGGTTCATCTTTATTTGCAGATTGACCCTGACATAAGAGCACAGTCCATTGTCGACACAGAAGTTCTGGCAAGCACTGCACTGGAGCATATGCGTTTTCTCTATGGCAAAGGTTATTGGCGAGCCTGCATCCAGAGTGTTGTCTCTGATGAGGAATTCCCGGTCAAATTGCATCGCTTTTACAACTGCACTGTTTCGCAAGCCGCTGAGACGAAGGTCAAGTGCCCTCTTCCTTGGCCTGAACGCTTGCCATTTGCCACAACTCTGCAGCCTGCCTTTGATGCCACGCGTATCCAGAGCAGTTCTTCGCAGTGTAAGGTTAGCATGGAGGTGACCATATCTGAACTTGAACATTTTTTCCAGTCAGCTCAGGACATTTTGTGTCCAACGCTTGAGGGGATTGAAGTGCCTGAACACGTTCAGATTGCCCTTGACCAATGCCAACCTCTTGAACGAATCGACCGCCTTCTCATATTCTGTGACGGCAGTTCCATTCCTGAGTGTAGAAGAATCCCCCCAGCAAAAGCAGAAGAGCAAGGTCAGGGAGACACCTGGGCTTTCTTGGTCCTTGCTGAGGAGTACACTGACGCTCCACAACCAAAAGTGAATTTTGTTGGATGGTCCGCACAATCAGTCCTCTTTGCGCCGGAAGCCCGACATCATATTGGGTCAGACAGAATCGGGAGTGAGACCAGTGAAAGGGAGGCCTTATTTTGGTGCTCACTTTGGCGCTTAGCACAGAACCACAACATTCCGACGACGTTTTGTACTGACTCCATCACATCCGAGCGACAAGGAGCTGGTCTCCATGGTGCGTCTGAACCTTCTACATCATTTCGGTTGTTGAGAGCAAACTTTCAAGCCCTGGAGACCATTTTGACTGATGAGTTCCTCTCGACCTCACATGTCAGAGGACATAGCGGCGACGCATGGAACGATCTTGCAGATCACCTGGCGAAGCAAGAGAGAATCAAGAGCTTCTACTTGCCAAGACAGGATGTGGATATCCAGCGGTGGCAGAAGTCGCTGCCGTTTCTTTGGTGGGTACTGGCACAGGATTGCAGCTTGCCACGTTTCCATGAGGGCTTCTTTGACGTAAGCCCGCCAGCGTTGCCAGCACCTCAACCTTCCATAGCAGCCCAGCCGAAGGAAGAGCTGAAAGACATACAGTTCCACATGAGTTTTGGTTCGGGCAATGTGGCTTCACTCTATGCGGGAGAGCATGGTACGGCTGGCAAAGTACAACTGATTCGAGATCAAATGCTCAGCCTCAAGTTCAATTTCTTGGGTTTGCAAGAGGCGCGATGCCCACAAATTTGCAGCTTGGTAGACAACATCTATCGCTTGGGGACTGGAGCTCACAACGGTCACTGGGGAGTTGAGCTTTGGATCAACCTACAGCAGCCTTTTGCTTATGTTGATCATACTCCCATTCTTCTATCCAAGAGTGATGTAGTGGTTGTGCACCAAGATCCAAGAATCCTGATTGCCAAAATCGACCAAGCTATGTGGAGAGCCTGCTTGGTTGTTGCGCATGCCCCTCAGAGCGGCCAATCACTTGCGGACAGAAGCATATGGTGGGATCATTTTACTAGCATCCTTCAGAGCAATGATGATGGTGCACCGATCTTTGTCATGCTTGATGCAAACGCTGCCCCAGGTCAATGTGACGAGCAGATTGTTGGAGTTGGTGATCTTGGAGAATCCAAAAGTACTCCACTTTTTCGGCAATTTCTTTCCGAATTTGGACTCTGCCTCCCTTGTACCTTTCCCTGCCATCATGGGCCAAGAGAAACATGGACCTCACCGCACGGTCACAGCTTTCACTGCATTGATTACATTTGCATTCCGGGAGATAGACTTTCTGCCTGCAGTTTGTCGCGTGTTGTGGAAGAGTTTGATCTTGTGAATGGTGCTCATGATCACAGTCTGGTCGCAGCTCAACTCAGTTGGCATGAGGTACAACAGTTGCAGGTCCAAAAGAAGAATGAAGTGAGGGCTGATGCGTCTTCTGACCCTTTTGATCGACAGAGTATCACGAGATCTCAAGTTGCTGCCAGGGTTGCACAGATCCAAGCCCCACCTTGGGAAGTTGATATCGAGTCCCACTTTCAACAGTACAACAGAGAACTCCTGGGTAGCCTCACAAGTTGTTGCCCGAAGAAAAAGAATGGACCCAAAAAGTCATTCTTCACTGATGACCTTTGGAGTCTTCGCAAGCGCAAAATTGCAGCCAAACGACAGCTTTGTGCCGTGCATCGTAGACAGCGCCATGAATTTCTTGGGTTTTTCTTCAAGTCATGGTGACAATCACGGAGATCGTCTGCATCACAGGAACATGGACACTTTCTCTCCTATGTTACAACGATAAGATGCTGGACACTCAAGATTGGAGTCAAACTTCATGTGCGAGCCAAGCAAATGCGTGAACATCTGCGGCAGGCAAGACATCAAGCTCTTACAAAAGCCCTCAGTTTTTTGCCAGACAATGCTTCGGCCAACGACATCCTTCAGGTCATCAAAGCGCACATTGGCCCTACCAATTTACGCCAAATGAAGCGCCAGACGTTACCCATGCTGAATGATGAGGATGGCACTCCCTGTGCACTTCCTGCTCAACTGTTGGGTCGATGGATTCAATTTTTTGGCGATATGGAGGGTGGCACAAGGATGGACATTTCTGATCAGTGGACATGCTGGAGGGCCAATCTTGAAAAGTTCCGCCAGACACAAGTCCACCTTCAGCTTGAAGACCTCCCCACATTGACTGACCTCGAGATTGCGTTCAGGAGAGTGCCCAAGCACAAGGCAAGTGGGCTTGACCGTATCCCGTCTGAGCTGTGTGGGAGCTGCCCTCGAGAGCTTGCCCGCCAAAATTATGGTGCGCTGCTGAAGCTCGTGATACATGGTCAAGAGTGTCTCGGGCACAAAGGTGGGACCCTCACACCGGCCCACAAAGGGAAAGGCCCCTTGACTGACCCGATGGCATATAGGAGTTTATTGGTCAGCTCACACCTGGGGAAAACGCTTCACAGGACCGTGAGACAGACCCAAGCACATCTCCTAGAGGCCTTTATGTCTCGTTCACAACTTGGAGGAAAGCGCAGAGTTCCGGTCACGCTGGGCCTCCATGAAGCTCGAGCCTATTTGCGGGCAGCCACCTCCAAAAAGAAGGCATTCTACAGGGTCCTTAGACCGCTGGCCCTTGGGTCAGATTTCACTGACCTAGAGGTGGCCCGCATGGCCAACAGACTGCATCTACACCCTGATGTCATGCAAGAATTACAACAGCATCTGGAGGATGAGTCGGCTGTTGCTATGGCTGGTATGACACCCCAAGCTCAACGCCTGCTCCAAGCCATACATTCAGATACGTTTTTCAAAATGCCAGGACAAGGTGATGTTTGTCGGACAACCATTGGCTCGAGGCCAGGGGACTCGTTTGCAGATGTGGTTTTCACCTTTCTTTTCTCCAGAGTGCTACATGGTTTCCAGCAAAAGCTCTTACAACATGACCTTCTTGAGTATATCGGTGTTGATGAGGCCTTTGACCCATTTCAGAATAGCCCCTGTGAGAGCCAACCTCAAGTGGTCTATTCAGGGCCAGTCTGGATGGATGACCTCTGTGTCACTATGCAAGCTGCCACTGCAGATGCAGTTATGGCGAAGGCGGGGGTGGTGACTTCTCTTCTGCTGGATACGCTCCACGAGCATGCCATGACGCCAAACCTTTCCAGAGGCAAGACAGAGCTTTTGCTCTCGCTGAGAGGCCGGGGGGTTCGAAGGCTCAAAACCCAACACTTTGGACCCTCGAGCTCCGGCACGCTGCCAGTCATAGGGGAATTTCAGACTTTTCACATTGCAGTTGTCGGTGAATATCAGCATTTAGGAGGCATCATCCATCACGAAGGAGATCATCGCAAGGAGATGAGGCGAAGGGCAGCGATGGCTCATCAAGCGTTCAACATCCATCGCCGCAACATTTTCCAGAACAAGAATCTGGCTTTGCAGAAGAGGGTGCAACTCTTCCAATCGCTTGTGCTGAGCAAACTCCTGTACGGCAGCGAGTCATGGCATCTCGCAGATCAGCGTTCGAAACATTTTCTGCATGCGGCCATTATGAAGTTGTACCGACGCTTGTTGCGACTTCGTCCGGATGCGGCATGGCATGATGACGAAATCTGTGTTGCACTTTGCCTTCCGACGCCAACGGAGCTTCTGCGCAGATCGAGATTGCGATATCTTTGCACCTTACATCAATGCGAGTATACCATTTCATGGCGCCTTTTGCATGATGACCAAGAATGGTGCAATCTTGTGCGAGACGATCTTTCATGGCTTTGGCGACAAATCGCGAACAGCTCCTCGCTGCCTGATCCTTCAGTGACATTGGATGCGTGGCGTTATCTTTGGCGCTTTCACCCTGGATACTGGAAAGGATTAGTCCGTAGAGCCTTTATGCACTCTGCATTACAGCGACAGAATGACGTCCTGGTGCGCACACATCACATCGACTTCCTTGAGGTATTGAAAACGGAGCGCATCACAGTGGAGCTGGACGCTGGCCAACCAGAAGCTAGGCATGTGGAGACTCAGGCTCTCTTTGCCTGTCTTGGATGCCGCAAAGCGTTCAGGAGCAAAGCAGGCGAGGGAGCGCACATGTTCAGATGTCATGGTGCAATTTCTTCTTTGCGGTGGCTCTTTGACACCACGGCCTGCCCTTCGTGTTTGAAGGAGTATCATTCATTTGGGCGACTCAAGGCACATCTGTATGCAAATGAAGCTTGCAGACTCAGACTTCAAAACCGACCAGCACTTCCTGCACCTGAAGTAGGTGTTGGATCCACAGAAAACACCACTCTGGAACGGCGGCTCAATGGTCTCCTTCCTCCACTGCCAGGACAAGGCCCTCATAATCGACCGAGTCCCTTGCGCGACGTGGAGGACTTTGACGTTGACCTTTATGGGGAGCTCACGGAATGTCTTCTTCACGGCAACGCGGCTCAGCATCGGACGGCACTCATGGGGGTTTTGGAAGAGAAGTGTATTTCCTGGACCACGTGCCGCCGTACGCTGGATGCATTGGTACATCATGTCATGCCCCATGACTTGCAGGCTTTTGGCTACGCCAATGTGGAGCAGCTGCGAGCCTTGGTTGCGGATCTCCTTGACCCGGCACACTGGAATTTTTTGCGTGCAGCCTTTGATGAGAAGGTCCTTCCAGATAAGGCGGAGCTGGCCTTTTTGCTGGATGAGGCGGTGATTGATGATATCACCCCAAGACCTCAGGCCTTTGGAGTTCATAGATTGGTACTACACGCATTTTCAGGGAGACGCCGTCCCGGCGACTTTCAAGAATTCCTGGACGACCTCATGGCTGGGCAGAATGGTATTGTTGTCCATGTCGTCTCAGTAGACATAGTACTGAGCGAAACCTGGGGAGACGTCACTGATCCTGCGTGCCAACGCTTTTGGTACGAGGGAGTCCGGCAGAAGTACGTGATCGGCTATCTTGCTGGCCCCCCTTGTGAAACCTGGAGCCAAGCAAGAGCGGTGACGCTTCCTGACACCAAGGACAATCAGTGCCGAGGACCGCGCGTCCTTAGGACGGCTCAGGAGCTATGGGGGATGGCAGGTCTTGCCATCAGAGAAGTTCGACAAGTACTCACGGGCAACCAACTGCTGTTGTTCTCCTTTCACATGATGCTTCTTCTTTATGTTTCGGGCGGCTGTGGGGCGTTGGAACACCCTGCGCAGCCTAAGGATGAGGATAAGGCGTCCATTTGGAGAACGTCTATTGCACGTTTGCTTTGCCGCCTTCCTGGAGTTCGTTGCTTTGATTTTGCCCAGGGCCTCTTGGGGGCCAAATCCCCTAAGCCAACAACAATTTTGTCTCTGAACCTCCCGGATATTGTTGAGCAAATCTGGAAAGGCAGAGTTTCCAATGAGCTGCCAATAGCCTCTTCCATAGGACGGGATGACCAGGGCAGATGGCAAACATCTGCTCTTAAAGAGTATCCCCCGGCGATGTGCAAAGCGCTCGCTGAGAGTTTTGCTAGGGCAGTTTCGGACATCGCTGTTGATCCTGCTATTTGCATCAGCACAGAGTTCTGGTCCAGATGCGAGACGATGATCGTCTCTGAGTATGGTGAGTTCATTGGACCGGACTACGCAAAGTAGCTATCAGCAGTGTTTGAATTCAATGAATAGGCCGCGACTATACAGTCTCTTCGAGCCTAGAGGAAAAAAAATATATTACATATATATATATATATATATATTATTACATATATATATATTACATATGTATATATATATATATATTCCGGGACCCCTGGTGAATGATAGAATGCGCATCATCCAGCTGCTGATTTTCTCTCACTTCGTACCAGGAAAGCCCACGTGAAACAACCGAAATAGTACCTGTTTCAAGATGCCACTAGTGTCATTCTTCTGTGAAAGGAAAGCCAAAAAAAGATGAGATTCACCCCAATCAAACCTTTTTCCTTGCTTCGTTTTACTAAACTCCCAAACTCTGAGCTCAGCAATCAGCCGCCAGGGCCTCCATGGATGGAATCTCAGGCTCTTTCGGCTCCACCTTTGGAGGATGTAAAAATCATCCTCAGGAATTTCACACCAGAAAAAATCATGTCAGATGTCTATATCTATCTATATCTATCTATATCTGTCCCCCACACGTTGTCACTCAAATGCCGGTATCACTGTGAAAAGTGATGTCAATCACAGCATCCACTGCCTTGACATAGCTGGAAAGCTCAGCTGGTTGGTGGTTGACCTACCCCTCTGAAAAAAATGACTTCGTCAGTTGGGGTTACTATTCCCAATATATTGAAAAATATAACATGTTCCAAACCACCAACCAGTCAGTATATAGTTGGGGGATTGCCCAGGACACCGAAAGCTAGTTCTTCTTCAAGCTATTCAGCAAGTTGAGGTTGGGACAACCTGTGTTTTTTCACTGCGCTGCTCACTGAGATCATTCATAATCCCATCTGTGTCAAAGCTACATAAATATATATATATACATAGAGTACATACACACAAGTCCATTGTTGTTGAGAAAATCTCTGTCCCTGTCGATATGATCATGTTTTTTTCGTCATATTTCTTTCTCTGTTTATCTCTGCGCGGCAAGCCTCGACTTCCGGCACCACATCTACCTGCGGCTGGAGCTGCGAATGGTCCCCAATTCACGTTGGAGGGACTTCTTGCGGATGCGATTACTGTTGATACATTGGAGAATATTGGAAAGTTACTGGAGATTGGAAAGTGAAATCACGTTTAATGGAAAATAGTTACTGGAGACTGTTGATACAGTTTTATAGATGTGATTAACATCAACTAGCTACTGCCTTGTGACCAAAACGTGCGGCACAACATAGCGAGCAGGACGTTGCTGGGTCATAAAGTGCCCTCCAAACTCAATCATTTCCAGGCTACACCTTTGTCCCAATTCATGTCATACGGTGGATGGTTGCGAAATCCGAATCGCCAGTTCATAGGTGGTAAACATCCCATTATTTATAGGGTTTCAACCAAGGTGGTGGTGCAGGATTTCGCAACCATCCACAGTATCATGATGTATCATGTCATCTCTGCTTTTTTCAAAGCCGCCAAATGGACTTGCTGCTCTCGCAGCTTGCCTCTTCAAAGGCTTCAGGACTTGCTTCCACTCGAGCACTCGGCCTGTCAAACAAAAATAAATCACTGCCAGCCGAAGTGCTGGGGAACACCAACAGTTTAAGAGTAATTGATATAATAGGGATGTAATTGATATATATATAATCATAATTATATATATATACTGGTTGGTGGTTTTAACCATCTTGAAAAATATTAAAGTCAATGGGAAGGATGACATCCCATATAGTATGGAAAATAAAAGATGTTTGAAACCACCAACCAGTATAATATCCATATATATATCATCATATATATATACAGTAATGAAAATTGGAAAGGAAAAACAACATGATTTGGGTTTGGTACCTGAGAATCCGAGAGAATACCCAGAAACCCCTGTAGAGTTTTTGAAATGTTCCCGATGAAAATTACAATTTGTTGGGTCTTTGGTATCCCCCATTTCAGATCATTTCAGATGTGCCCATTAGAAAAGGAGGTCCAATTCTCCCTTTCAACTCAAGTTTAGCAGATCATCAACACATGCCGCTGGAAATTGCGATGAATCAGAATATCCACATTTTTTCACTGCATGCCAATGTTGCTTCTGGAAAATCCATGAAAAGCCTCCATTTCGTTGGATGATTTTCCCATTTTCACACCTCCAAAACCTCCGTCCCAGCCCGCCATGTAGGCACCCTGAGCTGGCCTGGGCTCCGGGTCTGGTGACCCAAGCTGCATGACCATGGCGCTGAAGCCTCCGAAGCACCAAACATGTGGAACGACTGAAAGCGTGGAAATGATGAGCCATATTGAGCCATTAAATGTAGGGATATGTAGGGTTAAACATACAAAATTGAAATTTGGAGAAATTTGGAATTGTCCTAGCAAAGCTCGAGATATACTCTGATAAAATCAATAATTTCACCATCAAAACTCGCGAAAAACTGAAGGATTTTGAGCAGAAGGATGTGGGCCCAAGGAAACGACAAACTTTGGTATTTCATGTGCCACCTAAAAATGAACTTCGTTGATTTTGAATGGTTTTGAATCATTTCGAACCCCAGAAGCACTATAATGCCAACCCCGGATAAAGAAATTCTGTTGATTTACGGACGCACCCCCGAAATAGTAGTGAATTACTATTGAAGTTGGTACGTCACTATTCACATCAGTCTGCCTGCACGTCTTCTTCTTCCCTTCGGCGCATCCACAGGCTGCGGTGCAGCACTGGCTTCAGCAGACTGCTGTTCCTTGCCATGGGCAAATCCGGCAAGCGATCCGAAGAATTCACGGTGGGATGTCAAGTATCTCCAATTTGCCAATCCATGTCTCACCTGCCATGTTGATCCATGTTGTATCATATCATGCTGTGGAGTTTGGGACTCAGATTTCGCCGCCACACTTCCCAGCACTTCCCATGGCAGCAGTTCTCTTCCGACTTGGTGATGTGACAGTTACTATAGATGATCTGGTTGGTGGTATACCTACTGCTCTGAAATATGATGGAGTTCGTCAGTTGGGATGATGACATTCCCAATATATGGAAAGTCATAAAAATCCATGGTTCCTTAAACCACCAACCAGAATCCATACCCTCTGGTTATGACTAACAGACATAGCCATGTTTTCCATGGCCCATAGAAATAGATGCTTTACCGAACTTAAAAATGAAATAGATTCAGTTTACCGAACTTAAAAATGGGTGGATCTTTCCATGGCTATGCTGTTAGTCATAACCAGAGGGATTTGTATTTTTGTGATGATGGTTCTCCAGGCTTACCCCCAGCAACGAGTCCAATTGGACTCGTCGCACCTCCGCGTCCAACATGGCGAGCAATGCCTCGCAAGGTTCGACCGACCGATCAAAGGACCAGGGGATTGAAGGGAATCGGACGCATTACCCTCTGATAAACGTTTACAGAACTATGGAAAATCACCATTTTTAATGGGAAAACCCACTATTTCAATGGCCATGTTCAATAGCGAACTGTTAGTTTACCAGAGGGTACCAAAATTTTCGTTGGTGAAATCCATGGTAAAATCCCCACTGCTTGGTGGTTTCAACCTACCCCTCTGAAAAATGATGGACTTCGTCAATGGGAAGGATGACATCCCGTATATGAAATGGAAAATACAAAATGTTTGAAACCACCAACCAGACCATTAAAGAAAACCGTGCCCAAAAAAAACAAAAAAACTACACTTCAGATATTCAAAACCATGCCCAAGAAAAAGATTTTGACCCACACCCCTGCGGGTTTCCGCTGCTTTTTTCTGTTGCCCCATCCTCGGAATCATCTGAATTAGTTGATTTCGGAAAGTGTTTTTAGCCAAACCTCACGCCCGATGCTCAAAACATCTTCAAACCATGGTTTCCTGTCGATTTTCCCTAACAAACCAATCCATTGAAAAGTTCACCCACCAGTTTTTCCATGCCTCCATGGAGGCTTCTGCAGACGGCTCCTGAGCGGAAGGAGATCCAAGGTGGATCGGTTTCGATTTTTGGCAAAGATGGGTGGTTTAACCAATCCCATCAAGTGATATATGGTTGGATTGGTTAATGGGATTGTAATGATCTATATATATATGGGATTGTGGATTTTTAATAATGATATATGGTTTTGGGTGGAAGTTCGATTGACTAAAATGATCTAGTCTATTTATATAATTTTATATATATATATATGTTCTGGATGGCTTTATGTGGATTGGATGTCAACAAGTGGTTTCAACGGAGAAAACACATGAAAGTCAATTGTGAGCATCATCCGATCAAAAAATGTGTGAAACTAACCAAACAGGCAGTGAATGGAATGGATGGTGACCAGGTATCGCTGAAAACATTGGGATAGCGCAAGCAGAAATTGGAGATATGACCAGGGAGAAGTGGATGTAGAACCAAATCAAGATGGGGACAAAGGCGAAGTACTGGAAATTTGGTCATAGGGAAGTCAGAGGATCTTCCAAGGGCTTGTGAGCAACCACCACCACCATCGCCAGGACTGCTGGGAAGATCAAAGCGTTAAGGGGAAACAGCCAGGAATGATTGGGTGTGCTTTTATGTCTGAACATGTTGCCATGTGCCTTGAGACACAATACAGAAGTTCATGCCCCAACCCCCTTCTGCTGGCCTCTTCATTTCCCGCTCTTTCCACCTCTTCTTGTTCTCCATGTTTGCTAGCCTCATCGGCAAGTCTTCTCTCCTCCTCCTCCTGTCTCTCCCTTTCTAGCCGTTCTTGCTCTGCTTGCTTGCGAGACTCTTCGGCAAGTCTTTCCTCCTCCTGTCTCTTCCTTTCTAGCCGTTCTTGCTCTGCTTGCTTGCGAGACTCTTCGGCAAGTCTTTCCTCCTCCTGTCTCTTCCTATATAGCCGTTCTTGCTCTGCTTGCTTGCGAGACTCTTCGGCAAGTCTTTCCTCCTCCTGTCTCTCCCTTTCTAGCCGTTCTTGCTCTGCTTGCTTGCGAGCCTCTTCGGCAAGTCTGCTCTCCTCCTCCTGTCTCTCCCTTTCTAGCCGTTCTTGCTCTGCTTGCTTGCGGGCCTCTTCGGCAAGTCTTTCCTCCTCCTCCTGTCTCTCCCTTTCCAGCCGTTCTTGCTCTGCTTGCTTGCGAGCCTCTTCGGCAAGTCTTTCCTCCTCCTGTCTCTCCCTTTCCAGCCGCTCTTGCTCTGCTTGCTTGCGAGCCTCTTCGGCAAGTCTTCTCTCCTCCTCCTGTCTCTCCCTTTCCAGCCGTTCTTGCTCTGCTTGCTTGCGAGCCTCTTCGGCAAGTCTTCTCTCCTCCTCCTGTCTCTCCCTTTCCAGCCGTTCTTGTTCTGCTTGCTTGCGAGCCTCTTCGGCAAGTCTTCTCTCCTCCTCCTGTCTCTCCCTTTCCAGCCGTTCTTGTTCTGCTTGCTTGCGAGTCTCTTCGACAAGTCTTCTCTCCTCCTCCTGTCTCTCCCTTTCCAGCCGCTCTTGCTCTGCTTGCTTGCGAGCCTCTTCGGCACGTCTTCTCTCCTCCTCCTGTCTCTCCCTTTCCAGCCGTTCTTGCTCTGCTTGCTTGCGAGCCTCTTCGGCAAGTCTGCTCTCCTCCTCCTGTCTCTCCCTTTCTAGCCGTTCTTGCTCTGCTTGCTTGCGAGCCTCTTCGGTAAGTCTTCTCTCCTCCTCCTGTCTCTCCCTTTCCAGCCGTTCTTGCTCTGCTTGCTTGCGAGCCTCTTCGGCAAGTCTTCTCTCATCCTCCTGTCTCTCCCTTTCTAGCCGTTCTTGCTCTGCTTGCTTGCGAGCCTCTTCGGCAAGTCTTCTCTCCTCCTCCGCCTCCTGTCTCTCCCTTTCCAGCCGTTCTTGTTCTGCTTGCTTGCGAGCCTCTTCGGCAAGTCTGTCTTCCTCTTTCTCTGGCAATACCTCTCCTCCTTTTGCGCGTCTTCGCGCTTCTTTTGCTTGTTTTCTAGCTTCCTCAAACCTTGCCTGGCTACTTTGAGCAGCCACAGTGACCTCCTCCTCTTTCTCCCACTCATCAGCTTGGCGTGCTCGCAATCGTGCAAGTCTCGCTTGGAGATCGTTGACATCTTCATCCTCTCCTTGTCTCCGTTCAACCTGGGTGTGCACGGAACATAGCTACAACGGCGTGTGACAACAAATGCCTATTGCTCTGACAGCGAAGCAACAGCACTTAAACGAAAATGAAGAGGTTCCGCCAAAACAACCAAATTTCAACATGATGGAAAAAAATACCCCGATTGCTACTTCTCCCCAAAAAAAATAAAGAAACTGGATTGTTGTTACGGTTCTCATACAGTAGCGGTCGATGGGACATTTTTTAATGGGAACTCATTGATCCCATTTTAAGATGTTTGTCCACAAATGTTCCCTCAAACCATCCCAAATGTTGATAAATTTTGATGCTGGAATCCATCAAAACATTCAACACCCAAAACGTCACCCACTCGTCGTGAATCAAACCATTCAGCGGGAAAAATCATCACCATGTCTTGATTGCTACGAATTTCGATAAAACCCTTCGTAAAAAAAACTGTGACAAGTCTATGGAATGGTTCAAAATCGATCACACAATCCTATCGAAAAAATGGGGGAAAACTCATCCACAATGGCTCGTCACCCATTTAGATGGTCAAATCTCTAAATTGTTCATGAGTCACCGTGGGAAAACCTTGGAAAAACCCACAAAACATTTCAAGCCAGGCAGCTCTCTGTCTTTCACCGGCCAGGCGATCAAACAGCTCCAGCTCCGCCTTCTTCCGCCGTTCGCGCTCCGCTGCGGCGTTGCTGGCCGCGTCCTGACGCTGCTGACCGAAGTTGGAGACGAGGCAAAAGTCAGAGGCCTCGGGAAGTTTCAGGCATCAGAAGTGGTTTGAAAACCCAACTGCTGGATGGTATAAATGGGCTATAAATCATGGTTATAATATGGTTATATGGTCATTATCCACTTACTAAGTGGCACCCCAAAGTAATCATGGCATGTTCGATGGACAATTGCTAGGGATTTCACCAGAATGGCAGCTGCCGATAGCAGATAGCCCTAGTATCGGGGGCTGGTATGACAATACGTGGATTTCACTAATAAATATGCAGCAAATATGCAGTTTTGCGCCAACAAAATTATATGTATATATGTATGTTTATGTATATATGTATGTTTATGTATATATGTATGTTTATGTATATATGTATGTTTATGTATATATGTATGTTTATGTATATATGTATGTTTATGTATATATGTATGTTTATGTATATATGTATATATGTATATATGTATGTATGTATGTATGTATGTATGTATGTATGTAATGTATATGTATGTATGTATGTATGTATGTATGTATATATGTATATATGTGTATATCTGTATATCTGTATATCTGTATATGTGTATATCTGTATGTATATATATATATGTATATATATGTATATATATATGTATGTATATATATATGTATATTATGTATATACATATATATATATGTATATATATATATATGTATGTATATACATATGTATATATATGTATGTATATATATATATGTATATCTGTATGTCTGTATATCTGTATATCTGTATATCTGTATATATGTATATCTGTATGTCTGTATATCTGTATATATGTATATCTGTATATCTGTATATATGTATATATGTATATACGTATATATATGTATGTATATATGTATATATATATATGTATATATATACATATATGTATATATGTATATGTGTATATGTGTATATGTGTATATGTGTATATGTGTATATGTGTATGTGTCTATGTATATGTATACGTATATGCATACGTATGTATATATATATGTATATGTAGATGTAGATGTAGATGTATATTTTTATCTTTATGTATATGTACATATGTATATATATATAGGGTTTCAACGAACAAACACGGGGCTTTAAACAGAAAGAAAATCGTAGGGTGCATTCAAACAACTGTTTGAGTGTTTGTTCCGAGAATTGAACCTGTTTCATCCACGTTATGTCGGATATCGTCCAGATTTGTTTGGGTTTTAGTTATGTTTTCCCTCCCTATCATTAGATGATGTTACGACATCTTACAACTATCCTCCCTGGCAATTGGTTTGTTGCTTCCTGCGGCTGCGATGGTTTGTTGCGGAGAATAGTCCCTACCTCCACTACCTCAAAAAAATTGCCTTCTCATATCTTGGGCTTGAGAACTTGGAGATCAGCGTCTGCCAGGTCGCTGAAGGTTTTGAAGCTTGCGAGGGTTCCTTGATGGATTGCACACTCGGCTTTGAAGATCCATTGAACCTGCCGACCAAACTGGGCAGCAACTCACCACTCCAAGAATCCGTAGAAAATCGTCCCATCCCCCATGATTGCCCATGATATCCCATGATGTTTTTAAACATTGTTTCTTGGTTCAAATGGGTTCGTCTGAAAAAACATATACATATATAATTATATATGGATGGATGGATGGATGGATGGATGGATGGATGGATGGATCAATTTTCCCATTCAAATTGCCATAAATTGGTCCCAAATCTCCGCTTCCCTCGCCTCGGCTCAGCCTCGCCTGGCAGTCTCTGGGAGCTGTGGGTTTTGGTCACCGGTGTGGACATAACAACTACACATGTGTGTATATATAATTATCTTATGTTATTTTATATTACATTATATCATACTATATTATATTGTTATAGTATATTGTTATAGTATATTACATAATATGTATTATATCTATTAAATTATACTATACTATACTATACCATACCATACTATACTATACTATATCATATAATATCATATCATTTCATATAATATCATATTATATTAAATCAAATTTCATCAAACATTATCATATATCATGTCATATACAGTATACATGTTCTATAAACTGTATACATACAGATACCCCTTTCCATGCACTGGTTCATCATCATTGTCCCTAATAAAATGGCCACAACTCACTGCGAGGGCCCCCATTTTCCACACCCAGCTGTCCAGCTGTCTGTCCGTTAGATCGTACCATGGCACCCCCATAGTACAATGGGAACTGGGGATTTTCCAGGGGGATGGAACGGATGGAACTATGAAGCAAGAATTTTACCCTCTGGTAATGGCTGACATAGCTATTGAAAATGGCCATTTATAGTGATTTTTTAATAGCTATGTAAACGTTTACCAAAGGGTAGAGATTGGGAAAAACAAAGAATCCCTTTTTGGGCACGTGACTCTTGATGTTTCCCAGACTTGTCTTCAGCCTGAGTCGTCACCTTCATCTCCATCCAGCTGGCGCAGCAGTTCCTTGCCGTCCAGACCCCATGTCAAACAATAGATTTACCCTCTGGTAAGTAATGGCAAATAATGGTTGATAATGGTTATATAATATTGGTTCATAATGGTTGATAATGGATAAACTAACAGTTTGCGAACTTGAAAATTGCCATAGATATAGTTGATTTACCTATTAGACATGGTGATTTTCCTTAGCGAACTGTTAGTGTACCGGAGGGTACACAAGGCCAAATCCATTGGAAAAAGTGATCACATCCCACTCGATGTCTCGCTCCTACGGGATGAGAACCCAATTAGTCGTGTTTGTTGGTTTATAATCACCATTTTATAGCTGGGTAAATCCACTAGAAATGGCCATTTTCAATAGCTATGTTAGTTTACCAGAGGGTAATCTAGTATTACTACTACAAAGTGGGGCCCCCAGTCGATAGCCAAGTTGGTGAACATAACTCCAATGTCACTATGGTTTATGGTATGCAAATAATTATAGTTACTGGGGCGAATCTAAACCAACTTATATCTTGGGGGCCTCATATTGTTACTATAGTTAGATATATCCCCTAAAAACCATAGTTTTGGATCCCCAGGCTTCGCCGCTGTCCTCCATGCTTTGAGTCTCCGGAACTGCCTCCCGATCCACAAGTTGATTCATCCCCTGGATTGAGTAGTAAAAACAATCATAAACCATCCCCCAGTCATCACCATTTTTATAGGTGGTATAGACCAATCCCAAATGGCTAGTTTATGACATTGTTTTAACCACATTACCACAGTCCACACTTTTTACCAGAAAAAAGGTCAACTGGGCACTGCTCAATCTGCTCAGCAAACGAGGTTCATCCTCCCAAAGCTGATCCCCTCTGGGCAAGTCGCTATCATTCACAAACCTAAGGTCCGCTTCGGTATGCTGAGGTCCGCGTAGGAGAAAAACAAATCAATTTACCCTCTGGTAAACTAACATAACTATGGAAAATCACCATTTTTAATGGGAAAACTCACTATAAATCACCATTTTCAATAGCTTTGTCAGCCATTACCAGAGGGTACCCAGCTGTTGCGATCTGTTGAATTCCAATCTTTGAGACTTCAATCCGTTCGATCCCTGTTTTTGACTAGATGGATCTAGATCCCAACCTTTGATTGTCAAATCCCCATGTATACCCTCTGGTAAACTAACAGTTTGCTATTGAAAATGGCCATAGAAATAGTGGATTTTCCCATTAAACATGGTGATTTTCCATAGCTATGTTAGATCCCAATCTGTGATTGTTAAATCCCCATGTATAGTTATGGTCATGGTGTACTCCCATTGTATGGAATTCCCAATTCTGGTTACATCTCCCCAAAGGCAACTTCGCCTCAATCGTCTTTTCGGATCTCACTTGACCTCGCCGGTCATGGCGATTTTCTGGCATCTCTGATGATACAAAGTGGGGCCCCCAGTCGATAGCTAAGTTGGTTTATAACTCCAATAACTATGGTTTATGGTACTTATAACTATATTTATTGGGGCTTATAAACCAACTTATAACTAGGGGGCCCCACATTGTATCACAGTCACATGCAGCTTCGTGTTTCGGGTCCATCAAGAATCTTTACTGGATATCCAATGAAAGATGGTTTGCTGGCAAGTCCGCCATTTATTTCGATGATTTTCCCGATTTTCCCCAACTAGTGACCGTTTGGTTCAGGGATTTTCCAGCCAGCCACATTTGATTACCAGAGGGTACTCCATTTAAAACTGTCCGGACTTTGGGTGTGTAATAAAATGGTGTATACCCCCAGTTATAGCCATTTAATGTGTATACCCAGTTGTAGCCCCAGTTATGGCCATTAATGTGTCATAAAATGGTGTGTACGGTATACCCTCATTCCCCATGTAATGCTGGGGAAATGATGATACCTTTTTTGCAAAATGTTTGATTATTATATACGCCATCCAAGAATGGCTATAATTTGTGATACCATCAAGGGGAATTTCAGGACCCCAAAATGGAGGTACTGTACCATATAACGCTATATTTTCGGGTGAGTATGGCCCTTACATACGCCTTATGTATATATATATGTATATATATATGTATATGTATATGTATGTATGTATGTATATATATATGTATATACCCTCTATTAATTTAATATAGCTATGGAAAATGGCCATTGAGTTCGTGGATTTACCCATCAAAAATGGTGATTTTCCAAGCCATTGATACCATGGGATAGCCAGCGGAAGGTTCCCCACCTTCCAAGACATCCAGGTCGTGCGCCATCTTCTCGTCCCCCTCCTGGCTCTTCCGCACTGTTTCACCTGCGGCGATGCGGTGATGCCACGCAATGCATATACCATATATATATATGTATGTACGTATATATATATATGTGTGTGTGTGTCTGTATGTATGTATGTATGTATATATATATGCATGTAGGTATGTAGGTATGTAGGTATGTAGGTATGTAGGTATGTAGGTATGTAGGTATGTAGGTATGTATGTATGTATATGTATATGTATATGTATATGTATATGTATGTGTATGTGTATGTATATGTATATGTATGTGTATATATATGTGTATGTATGTATATATATATATACGTGTATATATAAATATATGTATGTATGCATATATATATATATGTATATGTGTGTACATATGTGTATATATATGTACATGTATATGTATATAGGTATGTATGTATATATTTATGTTTACATATACATATATATATATATGTGTTTATGTATAAATGTGTATATATGTATATAGAAATATATACATACATATATATATATATATAAATATATATATATATACATACATACATATATATATAGGTATGTATGTGTATATATATATATGTATATATATACACCAGTACATAGGGGCTTCCTAAAATGGGGGGGGCAGCCCAAAATCATCTAAAATTAGACCATTTTAGTAATGCAACCAATGGTTTCGGGGACAACCCATTTTAAGAAACCGCCATATATACAGGAATATAATGATTGACAAATAGGATATAACTTTTAGGATTTACGATATAGTGAATAATTGGCATGTAGGATGTATAAAGAGTGAACATGTTAATGATTATGGTGGGCACTTCAATACTTAATGTTGGGGGGAACTGTCTTATAGTAAATGATCTCAATTGTGAGGACTGTGTTAGCAACATATGAAAACTTAGGTGGTGAAGCTTTCGGATATCAAAATATTCATACGTTGTATTTCAGCGTTGCTGGAGATTTTTGTTGGTCCGACTGTGGGGATGAGATTTGGAGAAGCTGATGGCCAAAGTCACCAGGGGCGATGCTAACCAGCTAACCACCACTACACTGGGATGGGGATATTGGAATTAAAGCCTGAGAAGTGGAGTATGTTGGGGATATACCCCAACTGCCCATCACGTATTCATATCAAGTTCAGGGAACATTCATTCAGATGGCATGACCAGGTGAGCAATTATTTTCCGGCTTTAAATGGTCATCAAGTAGATGGTATACTCTATTTTCACGAACAGCCGAATCTATTACTGATAAAATCACCATGGTTCAGACCCATCTTTGATGACATAGTCACCATTTTTGATGATGAAATCGCACTTTTTGCTCCCCATTGGTATAATTTTCCCCACCAATAACAAGTCTTCACCAAGCAAGAGGGGCCTTGGACGTCTTTCGCATCTGACCTCGGTCGATCCCGCGAAGGAAGATTTCCTGCAAGTCCCGTTCACATCTTCTTCCTGATGCTTAGCAGGGAATGGATGGGAATGGGAGTTGCTGGGATGATTATTACTAGTGATTATGGATCATTCCCGAAAATTCCCTGCTAAGCACCGGTAAGTTATTATTCCCGAGTCCCTTCAGGCCCTTCCCCCTGATGTGTGACATCTTAGATCCAAACCTGGAATGTGCCATGGCTGAAAAGCCTGGCGCCAGTCTCAAGATTTGGCAGGTTTTTCGAGAAAATGATGATGAAACAATGGATGGAACGAGTTTTTCCCACTTTAGGACCTTAGACCCAAAAAAATGAAGAAACAAGTCTAAGTATTGAGTTTTTTGTAGGTAAGTTCCCAAGCCTGCCAGATCTATTCTGGGATTGCCGTCATGTTTTTTCTATTGTTCCAAATGATTGGGTCAAACTTCCCTTTGGGCGAGTTGGGGTGATTGAATCCACAGGTTTACTGATCACATCCGCTAGTGTCTTGTATACATCTCAAATCATCTCAACACACAGTTTTAAGAATAAATCCCTACCTCTTCGTGGCCAAATAACAATATTGTGATCCGCATATTTGGTGCATAACTCCCGACTGTTGCACTAGAGATGCCAACAAAATAACAAAACCTGAAAAACTCAAGAATGCACTTTTTGACAAAAAAATAATCCTCAAAAATCCTCAAGCCCTCCGATCTGCTTCGCCTCGCCCACGCCGCGCCGCTTTGGGCGCCGGTGCCGAGGGTGCAAAAGGAACCAGCGGTGACTTTGAAGGTGCGGTTCCCTGCGGATGGAGTTCAAACAGCAAAAAAAACATATGTTTTACCAACCAGGACGTGTTTTTTAGCAAAAATGCGGTGTTGTTTAGCAAAAATGTTGTGTTTTTTTGCAAAAATGTGTTTTTTTTAATACGAGCAGCAAGGATTGGAGTTGTACCAGCAATAATTTTGTTTTGATCAGCAAAAAGTAGCACTCTACCATTCTACCAGCAAACATTGCAATGGTAGCAACAAACAAAATTGGACTCAACAAAGAAGAATTTGGAGTTGAGCAAGATTTTGCCGACGCAAAATTGTATTCAACATGGATTGAAACCTACTGTAACCATGGTTTCCTACGGTTTTTCCCATGAATCAATCTTGTTCGTTGGAGAAATTACATCGCGAAAATATGAGTCATCTCATTCAATCATCCCGTTGATATGGTTGAAAAACAACCCCAATGTATTGAATGGTTCCCTTCAATGAAATATGAAAAACCATATTGTAGGTACAGTACAAAAGTTATATGTATATATACCATACATGTAGTCTATCCCTATATATATATATATATATTTACTTATTTTTTTACATGATATGATTAGATGTATATATATATCCCAAATGCATCCCATTGATTCTTGGTTCAGTCCACATCTTCCCACGCCTCCACAGGCTCCAAGGGTCGAAGTTTGGACCTGGCGACCTCCACCATATCGGAGGAACTTTCCTGATGGAGATGCAAGAAGATCCGGGAAAAAATCACCAGTAAAATCACTTTCTTCGAGTGATCCCCACCCTGAAACAGTATTCTGTCATAGCTTCTGACATACCATCTGGAAGTATGTATATTTATATATATATATACATGTGGCATATTTCTTCTGAAATTTTCTGACATACTTTCTGGCATATACTTTGACATTCTATCTGGCATCTATTCTGACACACTTTCTGGCATATATTCTGACATTCTTTTTGGCATTCTGTCTAGCATCTATTCTGACATTCTATCTCGCATCTTTTCAGGCATTCATTCGGGCATTCTTTCTGGCATCTATTCCGACATTCTCTCTGACAGTCTTTCTGGCATTCTATCTGGCATCTATTCTGACATTCTCTCTGGCATTAATTTTTCAATTACATATGTATATATGTTCAAAATCAAAATAGAAACACACACACATATATATATTTATATATTTACATATATATCCATCTGGGAGGAGCACAGGTAAAGCAAAGAAAACCCATTAAACCATGGTCGAAGCATAGAGGTCGAAACTTCGACAGGGGGTCGAAAAGTCGAAAACGATCTGTCAAATACATAGAATTCTGTCTAGTAGATAAACAGGTATGAAAATTTCTATCTAAAAACAAGATTGTTTTAATCAAAAACTATCTAATAGATAGAATTTGATATGTATTTATCAAAATAGGTACAACCCTTAGATAATCATTTATTTATACTATATATGTAAATGTGATCGAAATAGAAAATAGTTTAGACAAGTCATAGAAATATCTACAACAAAAAACGTCGTAAGATTTTGTCTAAGCTGGTCTATTGGGTGCCTTCTAAGTTATCGTTCAGGCGCCGCTCCTTACAGCTGGCTGCTAAGCGATTATGCCGATGTGCTTCGTGCCACAACGGCGTGCAATTTTTCATCTCTCATCTACCCAGACGGCTCCACACCCGCCGCTTTAGCGAGCCTACTTTTCGACCCTCTGGAGCCACCAAACATTGGAAAACACAGTGTTTCGCGACTTTTCTACCTTTTCGCGCACCTGCACCCTCTTTCTTCTGACTCTTTCTCTTCTCTGATCTTCTTCTTCTTCTTCTTCCTCCTCTTCTCTTCTCTTCTCTTCTCTTCTCTGATTCTTCCCACCTCTGCCCTTCCATCTGTCCATATTATCGGAAGCTTGACTTCTAAACTTCCTTCGATAATTAATAATTAATAATTCAAGAATGATAATCATTGCCATAGAAACCAAGAATCGATCAGAAACCTGCTTTGAAATCTTTAAAGCCATAAAGTCAAAAGAAAAGTCCATGGTTTCCTTATATTTCCATATACCATCTGGCTACTTAACATAGCCATGGAAAATCACCATTTTTAATAGGTAAACCCAGGTAAACCATCTATAAATGGGCCATTTTCCATGGCTATGTTAAATAACCAGAGGGTACTTCCTTCTTATGGCACCCATTCATGTCGGACATTTCAGCTCCCGGCCCACCGGCCACAGCCCAGGTCGGTGCCTCCAAGAAGACGTGCGCCAGGTCGCCGTCCTCATCCTCCGCTGTTTAGGAAATCACCATGTTTTTTTCGCCATTTGGGTGTCCTGAAAAATGTTTCCTGAAAATAGCAATTGGTTGGTTCCAGAATGTTTCAATCATTGAGTATACCCTCTGGTAAGCTAACATAACTATGGAAAATCACCATTTTTAATGGGAAAACTCACTGCAACTTGCCATTTTCAATAGCTATTTTGACAAATTACCAGAGGGTATAGCTATGATGGTTTCTTATGGCGGGTTCCCCACTCCTGGAAACAACCATTGTTATGTAGGGATTCTTGTGTATACTTCCCAAATGGCATCTTTCATAGGAAACTGACGATTTGCCATGGGATGCCACAGGGGGCAAAACCCCCAAAAAATCAGACAAAGCCAGGCTGATAGCTAGGGCCCGTCCTCCCAAAGTCCAGGAGGCAAGGCGCTGGCCTTCGCTTGCACCTGGCGCTGAAAATCCCCAGTTGTGGCTTTTTTGAGGACTCTGGGCATCAAAATTGGGGAATTCAGGTGATCTAAATGCCGTCTTGATGAGATAATCATCGTGTTGAATGTGGATTTAAGATTCTCTAAACACATAAGAATATCAGGGTTGAAGTAGTTATTTGTTCTTTTGCATTGGTGGGAGATATATGTACTCCCTTGATGCAGGATTTGAGTAAGTTCAGGGATAGAACTTTGGGTACCAGGTATTTCCTCCAAGGAAAATATGTCTCACATGTGGGTATGTCCCTTGTTCTCTCGGACATCTCCACAACATCTTGTTTTCATCTGAGCACTGCCCAGCCGCAATGGATTAATTCATCGTCCCCACTGGGCCAACTGGTATCAGCACAAATAAAATGTGGTTCATTGTGTTTCTAAGTTTCCTCCCCAGAGCTGTTGGTTAATATTGATATCTATATCCCTGGTTTCAAAGGTGGATACCCTCCAGTAAACTAACATAGCTATTGAAGCCATAGCAGAGTGATTGGTGGTTTGCCGTTGTTTAAAATTGTGATTTCCATAGCAAACTGTTAGTTTACCAGAAGACAAAAAATCCACCGAATCCTACTAAATCCAGCTTTGTTGATGGTTAAACCACCATCTCTTCCATGAAATCCCTATTACCAGTGGATATTCCCAACAATCCCATGTTTTTCACCATCCGGGTATCAGGACCACCGCCAAAAAAAAGAAAGGCCACCTCTTCCTTTGAATTCGCCGCGATGATGTCACTTCCCAGAGGCCTCCCATGGGGATCTGCCGTGGTCACGAAACACCAAGGCTATGCTCGAAGGGTCCGCTGAAGGCCTGCCACTTCGCCGCGCATCCTGGCAGAAAATCACCCAGGGCTTCTCCAGATGTCTGTGACTTTTTCTTAAGGATTTGACTTACTGGTGCGTTTTACGTAGGGAATGGATACAATGTGAGGCCCCCGTTGGATAGCTAAGTTGGTGAACATAACTCCAATGTCACTATGGTTTATGGTATGCAAATAACTATAGTTACTGGGGCGAATCTAAACCAACTTATATCTTGGGGGCCTCACATTGTAGGAATGGGGGTTGCTGGGATGATTATTACTAGTGATGGCATGGATCATTCCCGAAAATTCCCTGCGTTTAGCACCAGTAAGTTGATGGTGATTTTCTTCCACACATGCCTTTTGAAGCATGATAAGGGAGGATACAAGCTTGCAGGAAACGAAGGTGCGCCAGTGCAGTAGAGTAACTTGGAACTGAGGCAATGCCTTTGCCCTGAGATAAACTCTCCTGACTAGGGGACCCAAAATGAATAGATTCAATACTAAACCATAAATTCATCTTAAGGATGGTATGTGACATCTTGAACCTGATAGATAGTACAAGAAAAAAATGCCATCAATCTAAACAAAAAAAACATCTATAATCATCCTCCCCATCTTAAACCCTACTTCATGGCAGGGGAGGGGATTAGTTCACGAAACATCACATCTTCAGCTTTTCTCCTCCTCATCAAACATTTTCATGAAATCATCCAAAGATGGCCTAGGACGTGCAGGACGTGGCTGATGTAACCATGGCGATAACCATGGGTAACAACCCCAATAAGTTGGGATATAAGATGATATATATATAATATATATATATACCTCATATTAATCGTGGCCATATACTCAGTTATTACTGTACCCTGCGGTAGTCAAACGTGGCAATGGAAAATCCCCCATTTGTAGTTGATTTCCCATCACAGCTAACCATGTCTGATTACTGGAGGGTCAGCCCTATAACTGGCGCGAACAAGTATAGGGGTTAATAAACCCCTAATAGGAGTTGAGAGAGATAACCCCCAAACAAGGCATCCTTTTTTTGGGAGCTGCCTTTGCGGGGAGTACTTTTAGTAGTCCATGATCACCATTCCAATGGGTTAGACCACCAGAAGCCACTGGCTATCACCCTTTGGATTCAACTTTGAAACCGCCAAAAAAAAACAAAAAAAATACCACCAGGACAACAAACTTGATAAACTTGGAGCTTTTGGTGAACCCCAATTTCCTAACGTCTGAAAACCATGGCTGCTGGTGATTGAAGAGTTTCAATGAAATCATCATCGTGAATCCCATGAAATCACTATCAGATCCCATTATATAAATCTCCAGGTTTTCTACAACAAAGTGCAACAAAAGGGTGATTTAATGGGATTTAATGGTGATTTAATGGGATTTAAAGGGTGATTTAATGGGATTTATCACCATGAAATCACCATGAACTCACCCTTTTCCATCGGCTAAATAGCCCTTCGCAACGGCGCTCCCAAAAAAAAGGGCCCCGGACGTGGCCACCGGTCGACTCCCATTCCTGACCTCCCATTGGGACGTGACGAAATTCGTCATCTGCAAATATCGGATTTGATGGGGGTTTGATGGGATTTAATGGAGATTTAATTCAATATACATAGGAAACATTAGTAAACCAGAATAAGTTTTACCAATTCTTGGACAGCCCTCCTGCAGATGTTCCGGGCCATTCCAGGAACCAATCCTCTTTGTCATAGTGGGATATGAAGATGACATTTGATGAAGTTCGCAACAATGAGAATTGGGTATGTCAACAGAAAAGATACCAGAAGAAATGGGAACACACGGTGTTCCTCAGTGAAACTTGCCCTGAGGTCCGAAGAAGGCCAGCCTTTCATGTGATGCATCCAAAACGAGTAGCTCTTGAAGCTCTCTAATGTCAAACCCTGGGCCAAAAGGGCCCTGACTATCAATTAGCAAGGTAAAAATTAAAGGACCGGATAACCCCACATGTTACCAACTTCTCTAGATTTAGACTGGGCATAAAAAAACAAGAAGGGAAGAGGAAGTATAAGAGTGATGGAGCGGTGATGGTGGGTGAGTTTGTGTGTGTGTGTGTGTATGTATGTTCAAGTACAGTGAGTGAGTGAGTGAGTGAGTGAGTGAGTGAGTGAGTGAGTGAGTGAGTGAGTGAGTGAGTGAGTGAGTGAGTGTGGTGAGTGAGTGAGTGAGTGAAGTGAAGTGAAGTGAAGTGAAGTGAAGTGAAGTGAAGTGAAGTGAAGTGAAGTGAAGTGAAGTGAAGTGAAGTGAAGTGAAGTGAGTGAGT